CATAGATTTCCATGTTCTCGTGTACACAGTCCTTCTTCTTCATATGCAAACTAGATAGCCTAACCTTCCAACACAGGATGCCAGAAACTACCGGCGGGGCGTACTGATAGATACGACTCTCTTGCCGAGACGAAGTTGACGAGTGAGCGGCCTTGAGACGAAAGAGGTGTTTGGCGTAAATGTTGGCCGCTTGACATTTGCCCGAGAACGCCAACGCTGTCAACCCTTCTTCCTTTCCGCCATAGCCTACCAGCCGAACGACATCGCTCCCTCCCTTCTTGTCCCGGTGCTCATAAGTGTCAAACCCGAACGAGGGGTCCTCCTCAAAACGCCTCAACGTCTCGGGAAGGAAAACCGAGTGCCTGTTTTCGAGGTGGAAGAGGAACTGAACGAGCTCGTTGAGCGCCAGCGATTCGTCCAAACTTGAAGGAGTAGTGAGGCAGTCGTCGACGACCGTTCTCAGGCCTCGGACCAGTCAAGGGACAACCTGGGCATCGTATCGAAATCTGACGTGCGGTTCATCAGCTATCACTCGTTGAAGAAAAGCAAAAGTCCCTCACGTGAAGACATGGTCCGGATTGAGGATCTGCCAAAAGCGCCTGGCGTTACGCGAGCCGGCTTCCTGATCGTCGGTGGTTCGATCCGCCGGATCTTTCATGTCGAGAGATGCATGACGATTGACCTGCCTGAGATCGGTAATTCCCGCCTCCCTCTCCTTGTTGTAGAATTGCGTGGGACCAAAGATGACGCGCTCGAGGGCGTTGGCCATACTAGTGGGGATGCAGGCGGGCGGGATGGTGGATAAGCGATAGAGCGGGACGGTGGTGGACCCTTGAGGGCCAGAGAAAAGCCGGAGGAGGGGGAAGGGCGTGCGATTGTGCATCCTGAGTGTGTATGGATGGGATGATACGAGAGAGAAGGAAGAAGGAAGAGATGTGAGTTGGATGTGGATTAGTAAATGCGTGCAAGTACTGTGGCCAGAGGGTAAATAGATTCCGCGGGCATGGATGTTCTCGTAACGGAGTTAAAGTTCTCGTAACGGAGTTAAAGAGTCTTACGGCGCGTCGGCGGGGGGGTGGACAAAACTGAAACTAAGGGTATGTGGGGGGCACTTTTAATGAGCGCTTATTCTCGTGTAACTCCTTCGCCCGCCGCCGCTCTCCGCCGCCGCGGTTTTTGCTGCTTTTCTTCGTTTATCTACTTAGCATTTCATCCCCCTGTACCGCTCTGTCTGTAGGTTCCCGCTCATTTGAACGTGGGCTTGTCTCAATGTTCAACCTCTCTCGCCTCCCCGTCACGTCAGAATGGGGAATGACGCCCGACTCCCTGCCCGAGGCAAAGGGACTCTTGTCCTGAATGGGGTCGTCTTCAATCATGTCTGCATCTACATGCACAGTATCTAGCTGCAGAGCTCATCATACAATGATCCCTTTCACTCCCTCACCACACTCACCCGCACCCAACAACTTCCGACTTCGACTCTTTCCGACAACCACTCAAACGCCGCTGGGGTCACCACCCGCCTTTCGCTCGCCTCTGGCTCTCAATTTCCTTTCAATTCCTCTCAACTTCCTCCCATCGTTACTATCGTCTTACTCTATCACTCGCTCGCTCCTGGCTCTTCCCTCAAAAATGCCGAAATCTGCCCCATCAAAACCCCTTTTTACTACCAAGCCCTATGGCGCACCGCGAACGAGGCTCAACAACAAACGCGGGCGTCCTCCAAAAACACCCCCCCACTAATACTCCTCTATCTGCCCCATCAAAATCCCTTCTTACTGGCAAGCCCTACGGCGCATCCCAAACGAAGGTCATCAAAGGCGCACATCCTCCAGCAACACCCCCCACCAACGCTCCTCCAGCCCTTCGGTCTCATCCGGAGGGCGATGTCCCGAAAGCCAATACTGATGGTAAGTTCTGATGTATGTTTGCATACAATTGAACTGACATTGCTTTCTGACTCACAGCTGGGAACGACGTCAGGAGCTACAACGTTGCGATGCCTCTATCTGCGCCATCAAACCGCCTTGTCACTACCAAGCCTTACAGCGCACCACAAACGAAGGTCAACAAACGCGGTTATGGCTGTGGCGTGTTTGAGGACCCCCTCCGCCCAAAGAAGGTGTCTTTTGCCGCTCATGTATAGCACCTTCTCAAGCTAAAGGATGCGCAAGGTGACTCTCATGTCGTCTTCCATGTTTGGGTCTGTTGGCTCACATCGGAACAGGAGGAAAGAGCTCCGTGCCCTCTTGCGGCATTCTGGCATGCCTAGCTTGTTTGTGACTCTCAACCCGGCGGACTCGAAGAATTTTGTGGTCAGTGTGATGGCAGGGCGAGATGTTGACCTGGACGAGAGGCTTGGCTTGAGTGATGAAGTGAAAGAGGAGGTGTCTCAGAGGTTCTCGGCGGCGTCGGCGGATCACGGTGCTTGTGCAGAAGGTTTCCACTTCATGGTGGAGAAGTGAGTGCCCACTATCATCATCTGACTTTCCATATATGCTGACAACAATGACAGGTTTATCAACGTCTTCCTTCCATACGGCTCCCCCGAGGGTGGCATCTTTGGCAAATGCCTAAACCACTACGGCGTTGTCGAAGCTCAGGGAAGGGGAGCTCTTCACATCCACATGCTTATCTGGCTGGAGCACGCACCTTCACCGCTAGAGCTCAGAAAGCATGAGAAGGAAAACCCTGAGTGGGCCGCTGAAGTGTGTCGCTGGCTTGACACTGTTATGTCCGGATCGTTGCCTGAGGGTGCCGTGCCCAGTGGGCGATATCCTCCTTGTGACGATGACACCCTTGCCTTCCGCCAACGTGGTGAACATCGTTCCCTTCCTCTTCTGCAACCGCCACCTCACCTCCCACCTCACATGTCTGAAGAAGACTGGCAGAGGGTACGGCAGGATGTGGTGGAGGTCTTGGAGTGCGGTCAACTGCATGACCACTCCTTTACTTGCTTCAAGCACCTGCCTAAACTGCGTCGGGCTCAGAAGCTGGGAGATGCCGATTGTCGTTTCAAATTTCCCAAGGAGGAGGTTTTGCACACACACTTCAACGACGACGGCACCATCGATGTCCAGCGCACACATCCAAAGCTCAACATGTACAACCTCATCATGGTGGCAGCGTTTCGCTGTAACATGGACATCAAGTTCGTCGGCTCGGGGATGATGGCGATGGCTGCTGTGTACTACATCAGCAACTACATCTCCAAAGTCGCCCTCGACACCCCAACAATGTTTGGAGCGATCGAGGCGAGGTTTAGGCAAGGGAATGGAAGGCTATGTCGGTTGGGTTCATGTTCACAAGAAGAAACGTCTTCACAAGCTTGCTCCTCGGGCCTATCGCTGTGTGCTTTTCGGTTACAGCACTACTCAGAAGGCTTATCGCCTGTGGGATCCGGCAAAGAAGGAAGTTGTGGTGTTCCCTCCACCCCGACCTTGTTCCCTTATTCCAGTCTCTCGTCCTCGCCAATCCCTCTTGCGCCGCCCGGACCCTCTGGCTCAAGCTGGAGGCCGATTACGGTGATCACTCCCTTTCAAATGCTCTTCGGTACCCCTCCCAACCTCTCGCATCTTCGTGTCATTGGGTGTGTCGGTTGGGTTCATGTTCACAAGAAGAAACATCTCCGCAATCCTTTCTTCCAACATAACACAACAGGCTATTGGGTCAAGAAGCGGAGAGAGTCGGAGAGACGGGTGCCGAGGCTCGGCAGAGACAGATGAAGTCTCTCTTGGTCAGGTCGTGCAACGCCCTCACGGGTAAACAGGAGCTGTCCAGTGAGCAGGTGAGTGGATGAACCAACTTACAAGACTGTCATCTTCTAACTTTACCGTTCTGCTTCCAGGTCATGCATCACCTCCTCGGATATCCCCATCGCTACACGAACGCTCGCTTTTAACACGTGAAATGGTGGGATATCGCTCGCCACTTGGGTCTGTCCAACAGCAAACTTGCACCGGCAACTCGTGGGTCGCAAGGGAGCGAAGATGTCCCTGTGGAAGCAGACAGGCTGGAAGTCACTGGATCTGGACGAAATGCCAAGGCCGACTGGAGGGGATGTTGAGCAAACGGTGACACTTCTGCGCATGGGGAACCCAGATGACGAGCTACGGCACAGTGGTGGCTCGTATGCGGTAGACGACTATATCAGGAGACCCAACTCTTTGTCGTCTGTCTGCTACTGGGACTTTGTCGCGCGCTACCAAAAGCTCACCGACAAGAGTGCCAGGAAGAAGGGGCCACAGAAGGCAGCAGCTGAATTCCTACCTTCCCATCCCCAGTTCAGCGAGCACCGCATTCAGACTCGTTGTACCCCTGTCGTCCCCATCGTCTCTTGCCATACAATCCCGAGAGACTCTCCTGCCTCGGCCGAGGGGCACGCGAGAACTATGCTTGCCGGATTCAAATCATGGCGATCACCAGCGGATCTCGTTCCCGCCGACGGCTCCACCTCCAAGGGGCTTTCCTCTTGTGTAAATTGTTGAGTCTTCAAGAACCTTCGGGGTTGAACTTTCTTCTTATGAACTGGTTGAATCGCCGGAACCAGCCATGATGGGGCTGAGCTTTCCTCTTGTGTAGATTGTTGCATCGTCGAAACCATGAACCATTTTTTCTGTTAAAGTTCAATCTCGAAACCTGCATTGATGAATACATCAGTAGTAGTATCATCGGATCGTATACGGAGGGCCGCATAATGTAAACGTAATATGAATGACTTCAAAAAATGTTTATATCCGTTACGAGAACCTGCCGCGAAGTCGGCGCCTCCCAACCACATTAAATTGATCGATTTGGCGTTCCTGTGTCTGAAGTGCGTGAAGCCGTGAAGTGATCGCCGAACGTCCATAAGACAAAGCAGAAGGTCGCGCTCGAAGAGGCTCTCTGGTTATGTGAAGCGATCTCTAAGAATGCATGGAAGTGACCCAAGGAATGACCGCTAAATAGTCTCAGTAGCCGAACTTTACTGGAATGCTTTGCCGTCTTTAGGGATCGATTTGGCGCAACTAACTCTGAAATTTGGAGAATGGGAAAAGCGCGCCTAACCTCGGAATTTAGGAGTCGCTGCAGCAGCCCTTCGTCGGGATTTTAGTGATTGCTTTGGATGCCATAAGGCCAAATCTTAGGGGGCCCTTGCCCACAGTGTCGTACTTCGTTTGCGGTATGTAGACAGACACCAGCTGCAAGAAATCCAGAAAAATATGCAGAAACACTACTATCCCTCCACATCCTCCCACCGTCATCAGAGTCTTCGTCCAGCCCCCACTCCAGCCCATCTCCATCCCCTACCTCCCTCACCGCCTTCTCCAGGCTCTTATATATCATACACTTCTTCGCTGGAGACGTTTGGGCAAGTCTCGCGGGGACGATAGAAGATGTACGAGTAGCGCGGGGTGCTTGGGGTGGGTGGTGTGGCGGGACGACTCTGAGATCTGCCAGGCGCGATAGACACTGACTGAGAGCGCGAACGCGGGCACGCTTGTGGTACAGCAGGCGACATGGACACGAATCTGATGCCCGCCCCTGCCGCCGGCGCTGAAGCAGATGGGCTGGCAAGAGTCGATGACTGCTTATACTGTGTGATCCGAGTGTGATCTTGTATCATGGACCGCTTTTACCAAGTCAAAACAAGTTGACTGAGTGCTGACAAAAAACAAAATCAAAAAATGGTCTCGTCCCGGGATTGAACCGAGGACCACCCCCAAAGCGACTCGAAAATCACCCTAAGAGGGCATGCTACCACTGCACCAACGAAACGGCTATGCCACCGAAGACCGGATATATTTTTGTTACAGCATACATGTTAGACCCCATGCAAAAAGCTCCCTTGTTTCTGGCGTACTCGACGACTTCGGCGAGTCTCAGCATCAATTCGGCATGCCGACCGAAAGCATTACGACGGCTTTGTTGGTCACCATCGAGGTGCTGGAATCTGGTGGAGAACTGGGATATCCAGAAGGCTGGTGTATGACTTGACCCCTCAGAACAGAACGCGAGCACGGATGTTTGAACGTCGTTGCGCGCAGATAATACCAGAGATGCTTTTGGGCGTACAGTTTGGTACTGTCAATGCTATAGCAGTGGGTGGTACATGCATGCATACGGAATACGGCCTATACCTTCGTTTCTGGCCTTATGGTGGGACCCAACAACGAAGGCGCTTAACCGACGACCTCCACTTTCGTTCGCGTTCGTTTCTTCCAAAGTTTCTCTCGCAATTCTCTCGTCACCGTGGGCAACGCGTCTTTCGGTCTTTCATCGCATTCCATCTTGGGTTCCATCTTGGACTTGTCTCGCCAAACTTCCCCATCATGGAAAACATCGATATCCCTGGTGATGCGCCTTCTACAATCCCGAAATGTCCGAGAGAAGGGACTGCCATCCCGTCTTCCTCACAAGTTTCTATTCCGGGTTCCCAGGATGTCGAGGATGACCCTCCGGCCAGTCAAGATCTTAAGCACTGGGAGGTATGTATTGAAGTGTTCTAGGCATAAAAGATCCTTCGGGGGATATGTTGAGCCGAGAAGTACCCTTTAAATGCTGTCGTTCTGATGACCCATAGCACGTTGGGACATTCCGCGATTATGTCGTGGGCGTCCAATACTATCGGGGTCTCGTCGGCGAGGGCGAATCGGTAATGCTGCGACGAGATCCCGCGAACGAATACGATTCGAACGCTATCCAGGTTGTGAACGCCGGGGGTGACCAAGTTGGTCACCTTCGTAGAGGGCTCGCCATGCAACTTGCCAGCTATATGGACAGTAATAAAATTTTCGTCGAGGGACGTATGGCGGAGCATAATTTGGATGGCTTCAAACACTACGAGTTGGGACTGTGAGTCAATGACCCAAGGCAGACGAAATATATTGAATTGTCATCAGAGACCTTTCCATTTACCGCAATCGCGCCATTATCCCAGCTCGTGAGGCCGATGATCCGTGCGCCTGAGGGCCCATCATTCAACGCGAGACCTCGCCGCATATGGAGAGTGAACTCACATATCAGCATATATGGAGAGGACTAACCTACAAATTATGCATACATCCCATTCACATAAGAGGCAAATGCTACCAATCCCGACTGACCCAATAGTCTCCCGGGATACGACCCACGCCTTGCCTATCCCTCTGCTCATTCTCGCTCCCTCCAGATGTTCCAGACCCTCCCTCCCGCCCATTCGTCCTCTCATCCACCTCACCCGTACCGCCCCCACTATCTCCTTGCCGTACCCCATCATTCCCTCCATGTGAACCAGAACTGCCATCCTCGAAAACCCCATCCACCGCTTCCCTGCCCCGCCCGCCCCCACTAGGCGACCCCCCCGGCGTATGCGCAGGCGTCCCACCCTCAAACGAACGTTCTACTTTCGGACTTGGTAATCGCCAGATAGTTTGGAGAATGTGCAGGAAGGGGAGGGAGGCGATGAGGGGTGGTTCGAGGATTGTTGGGAGGAGTGCTGTATTGGGCGTCAGTGATGAGTTGAAATTGTTGTCCCAGATGGTAGGGATATGAGAAGAAAAGACCGAAGGAACGATAAGAGGAAAGTAATGTAATGGTGAGAGAGGGGACATACCAGACGTCGGTGGAATGGCATCATCAAGCCACACCTCTTCTTCTTCTTCATTCCCGTCCCCAACCCGACTATACTTTGCCCCTTTCCCTCTTCTTCTCCGAGCTCCACTCTGCTCCGCCCCCTCTCCCTCTTCCCCCTCCTCTTCCTCGTCCTCGTCAAAGACGACTTCTCCCCGTTCATTCGGCGATGGAATAGGCGCAGGCGCAGGCGGCAGGAGGATATCGTCAAAGGGAAATACCTTCCGGACATCGATAGTGAGCGGAAGGTTGTTGAGGTATGCGATGAAGAGTGCGAGGAAATGAAGGACGTATATAGTCAGGTCGAGTAGGATGAGATGTAATAGACTCGGCTGTTCGTCTGACCCCAAATTCAGTCAGCCGCCATACCGCCTTTCCACCAAGGAGGAACTCACCGATCCCAATGAAATCCAACATGATACCCATGCCCATACCGTCCCCTCCATACTCTAACCACCTCACAAGCAGTACGACTATTGTACCCCCCGTCATCATCCCGACTAACCATCTCAGACTCCTTCCTTTTGTGGGTACGAGGGAGATGACTTGTATTTGGAAATGGCACAGGAAGCGGAAGCCGAGGATGATCAGAGAAGGGTGAAGTAGATGGGATAAGAGTGCGAGGGGGAGGGCTGTACCGCACATCTGTAGAAGGGGATTTAGCTTGATAAGGCTGAGATGGAGGAGGGACGTACGGAGGCCATTAGATGGCGTCTTTGAGGGGCGTACACCATCCTATCGCGCTTACGAACCCTGAGTCCGAGATTCTAAAGTCGGAATATAAAAGGCGGTTATCCCTTCAGAGGAGGATAAGGGAAAGACAAGTAGGGTCGTATACAAGTCGCCCAAGCATGTCTCGACGAGAGGATTGACACGCGGCTTGAGTCTGTCCTAGCGTGTGGGCGAGCTGGTTGGTACTATTGGCGGCAGGTCGTGATGTAAGCGGCACTTGTTGACCCTATGGGGGATATTTTGAACTGAATTATTTTGAATTGGATGTAGTTGGAAGTGAGGATGACAGTCATACAACAGTCATAGACCGTTCGACGCGAACAGACCTCCACCACGGCCATGAATCGCTTACGTAAACGGTTCATCAACTGATCCTACTAGCCTGCACTGTCGTCGCCATGCGCCCATGCATGTCGCTGCAACTATTGGGTATCGGTCATAAGGGACATCACTGAGGTATATCATGATGGGATTGTGATGCGGAAAGTGTTCGAGATGAAAGCAGGTTGGAAGAAAAGAAGTAATCCAACTTGCCCCACCATACATAGTCGCATGCCTAAAAAACTCGGCCAGGCGCGCGAGTCCCGACGCGTCAAAGTCATAATAACGCGTCTTTCTCGCTCCGTGAGTTCGTTCATCTATACTCACCGCTGGCATTACGCCAAACAATCAACACGATACCATGGGACGACGTGCCCAGGATGCCAGGTGCTCTGTATGCTTTGCCTCCATCTTTGGCGACCTCGACGATGTGAACGAGCCCAGAGCTGCCGTCGCGACCGAGTGCGGTACGTTGATCTCTCCTTCCCCTCTTACCTTCCACCACTAACCCCCATATAGGTCATGTGATCCACGAACACTGTATGCTCCGCTGGATCGAAATGTCCGCCGACGCCCAGCTCGCCAACAAACAGATCGACCACCGCGACGAAGCCGAAGCGACCTGTCCCCAATGCAGGAGCGAGATCTACGCCGACGAGGAGACTGGGAAACCGCTGATACACCGGCTGTATCCTGTGTTTGATGATGAACAGGGGAGTAGTCAGGTGAGGTCGTCCCCTGTCAAGGCGGAGCCTGTTGATGAAGGGTTGATGGGGATGGCGAGGAGGGCGAAGGCAATGAAGAGCGAGATTGATGAGCTTGGTCCGGAGAGTACGAGAAGTCAGCTTGAACGAGGTGCAGAGCGGGTGGAAGGGTTGAAGAAGGATTTGGAGGTCTCGGCAAAGTCTATATCTGCCGTCAGGGTGAGTATCTCTCTCCAAGCTTTGGCCCGTGGCTGATGGAAAGCAGACCCATGTGGGCGGACTCATAGCATCAATCAACAACCTCCGCAGTACCATAACAGACTACCCCCTCACCCCCCAACTCCGCGACGAAAACATGGCCCTCCGCGCCCAACTCGAGTCTGCCCACCTCACCATGCGGCGTATCCAAACCGAGATGAACCAGAAGCTCATGGCAGAAGTACGCATCGCAAGACGGGAAGAGCAGGAGAAGGCTGTAAGGTTGGTGGAGGAGCAGATGGAAAGGGTTGATCAGGTGAAGTCAGAGTTGGGGAGGGCGATGGCGGAGAAGAATGCGAGTGGCAAGTTGGCAATGGAGAGGACGAATGAGATGAGGAAGAAGGTGGAGAGGTTGGAGGCGTGAGTCTCACTGGTTTTGTGGACCTGCTTACGGCTGATCAATGTCAGTCAGATGAAACGGAACATAAAAGACAAAGAAGATGCTGAGGAATCAGAAGGGGACAAGAGGAAGCAGCTCAAACGGTGGATGGACAAAGTGCGTCGCCTCCTTTCCTTCTTATACTCCAAACACTGATCCGGTAAATAGTACGAAAAGCTGGAAAAGAAGAGCAACGAGTACAAACGCGAAAACACCACCCTCGCCGAAGAGATCACCGCCCTCAAAGCTAACATAGCACTCCGTCCCGATCCAGCTACACACGACCTCTCCTGGGCTGAAGGCGATTCATCAGTCACGTGGGTACCACCACCTGATACCGCTTCTTCCAATATTCGCCCCGCCCCTCCGCCTAGAAGGGTCTCGAGCAACCACCGAACAGCGGACGAGTCGTCTTTGATGATAGACATGCCGTCGTTCCACGATTCCTTTTCGCGAGAGGTGCAAAGCGTGCCGCCGCAGCGGAGCGCTACAGCAAAGACCTTTTCGTCCGACATGTTTGCGGGCAAGAAGGAGAAGAAGAGTAAATATTTCGGGGCCGGCGAGAATGGAGACGACATTTCCGATCTCTCCTTGAAGAGGAAGAGAAACAATTCCTTCTCACTCTCGGGTTTACCAGAAGCCTCCCTCGCACCATCATCCCCTTCTTTTCGCGTACCAGAAACCGTGCCAAGCTCTTCCCCGCCACTCCCAAGGGCATCATCTTCATCAAACCCATTCGTAAGAAGCAAAGATTCTCGCGCTACCCCCGCCACTCGTCCCGCCCAAGCTTCTTTACCGAGCCAATCCCGGCCTCCTCCCAATTCGACTGTGCTGGTACCACCGTCGTCTCCGCCAGTGCGCGAGATTGTATCGCCCTGGGATGGGGTGGATGAGTCGCCGAGTCCACCGAAGAAGGTGGATAACGGGAAAGGGAAGGGGAAGGGGAGAACGTATCTGTCGGATGAGTATGAGGATACGGCATCTTCAAAGTCGACCCTTCCTTCCCGAGCTGAGCATCGTCCCGCATCCCAGACAACAGCCCGACTCCCACTGTCCTCCCGTTCCCTTCAACCCAGTACCGATTCCATCCCCAGCTCAAACCCTTACACCTTATCAGGCAAAGAAAAAGTGAGAGGATCAACGACGACGACGACGACGACGGGAAAAGACAAAGCGGTCAACAAGACGAGCGCGCAGCAGAGTATACTGTCGATGTTTGCGGATAAGAGTGGGAGACCGAAGGCGGGGGTGGTGACTGGGTCGAAGAGCAAGAAGAGGATATGAGGCGGGCAGGTTCTGAGGAGAAGATCATCGAGGAGAAGGAGTTTGTACTGGTACAAAAGCATGTTGTATAAGTAGAGCTGATTTTGTATATTCTCGGCCTTGACACGATTTTGGTGACGAATTACCATGATTTGCATGGGGTCATGGACTATGGTCGGTGTAGACTATTCAGATTATGCCGATCATTTGCCAGCTCGGAGGATCTGTCGACGAGACGACAGCTGTGTATCCTCCGTATCAAGCCCAGATCTACCGGCGGCCTTCACCGCGAATGCATGGCCCAGAGGCCACAGAGTCCCATACCTTCCTAAAGGAAACGCCAGAATGACAGATGATGTATACAGGGGTCTCGTGATACCACCATCCATGCGCAAAGTCCCAACGCTGGTACATACTCGACGACGATGTTTGCGATGCAGCTTGGTTATGGACGGCTTTCCGCGCACTCCGCGAGAGATCTTGCTTTTCTCGGCGCGTCTTTTTTCATCCTCTTACGCACATCTCCGAGCTTCGCAAATCTTCCTGTATACAAGCATCGACAACAACAGCGATAGTATCAGCAACCCTCGTCGCGTAGGAACGCGTACATTGACCTCGACAAAAGTATCGGAAAAGGAAGCAAAGCGTAAATCGTCGCGCTGGAGGGGCCCATTGCCACGTCTTGCTCTTTATCACGTTAAGGGTTCTATCGCAAAGATCAAACGCGACTGGAAGCGCGTCGTCAGTCAGCACTATCGAGAACGATACTCTGCTAGAGGAAGAGCGAAAAATAAACGAGGGCGGAAAGAGTTTTGAAAAGAGATCCACTCGCGAAACCAGGTAGGTGTCATGATGGCTTGGCAACGGTGACCACTGCGGAATGCTAACCACTTGCAGGAGTACACATATCCAAGAGGCTGGATGAGACTAGAACGTGAGTATGTGATAGAAAATACTCTGGACGTGTACTGATCACGCTCGTAGCGACTTGACCGCCATCCCCTAAAAGTCCAACGCAAACGCAACATGCCCCCTTCGACCTCCCCCCTCACTACCCACTACGCCCTCGTGATAGACGCTGGCTCTTCCGGCTCGAGACTGCAGATATACTCCTGGCGCGACCCCGACCTCGAACGCGCCGAGATCTTGCGAGAAGTACAAGATGCGCAATCATTGGAGGGCAAGGGGAAGAAGAGTAAAGGGAGATGGTGGTGGGGTGGTGAAGATGGGTATCGGATTGGAAAGGGCAAGGGGAAAGAAAGGGAAATGGAGGAGAAGGCTTTGAGGCGCCTGGTTAGGGTTGGTAAAGGGGTGGAAGGGGAAGATTGGGTGAAGAGGGTCGAGCCTGGTATGTCGGATTCTGCCCCATGAGAGCCATGCTGACAGTGAACAGGTATATCTACTGTAAACCCAGATGATATCACAGAGTACCTCGCGCCCCTCCTCTCACACGCACTCCAACATATCCCTCCCTCGGCCCACGCCAACACCCCGATATACCTCCTCGCAACCGCCGGAATGCGCCTGATGCCCCAAGAACGGCGAGATGCCGTCCTCAAAGCGACTTGCGACAACCTCCGCGACTCTTACCCATTCCAAGTGGATGGGCCTTCGGACGCTGGGCCTTGTGGAGAAAGCGTGAGGGTGATATCGGGCGAAGAGGAGGGTATGTGGGGATGGGTGGCTGTCAACTATCTCATGGATGGTTTCGGCCACGCCCCAACGCTTTCTTCGTCATCCGACAACCTCTTGCCCCTCGCTCCTCTCGCCGATCCACCACCCGATTCCTCTTCGTCTTCGGTTACCCCCGTTGATGTCAACCACCATTCTCCTACATTCGGTTTCCTCGACATGGGCGGCGCATCCACCCAACTGGCATTTTCGCCCTCCCCCAGCGAGCTGGATAGCTCCGGGTTCCCGGTGGAAGATCTGCGCACGGTGGGACTGAAGCTGTTGAGCGGGGAAGAGGTCGAGTGGCCCGTCTTTGTCGCCAGTTGGCTCGGTTTCGGAACCAACAGAGCTCGAGAACGGTATACTACTGCCCTTCTCGAGTCTTGGGCCCAAGCCCACCCAAACCCGACTGGGAAAGACCTCTCCACCCCCTTACCTGATCCCTGCCTTCCTTCGAATCTCCAAACACCATCAACGTCTCCCGACCTTCCCGGTCTGATAGGCACCGGCTCCTTCTCTCAATGTCTCGAATCTCTCGTCCCCCTACTCGAACACTCCACTCCCTGCCCTACAGAGCACTGCCTTTTCGCGGGCCAACCCACCCCGCGTATCGACTTTGAACGACATGATCAGCGAGGGTTTATCGGTATTAGCGAGTACTGGTATACTATGGAGCACATCCTCGGGGTGGGAGGCGTATGGGATTGGGGTGAGTGGGAGAAGGGGATGAGTGAGTTTTGTGGGAAACAATGGGGAGAGATTGAGAAGGAGAGGGAGGAAGACCGATTCAAGAGCGTTGACGTGAGTCTCAACTCTCTTTTAGCTTGATCTGATATTGATAAATCGACAGTTGGACCCGACAAGACTCGAAATGCAATGTTTCAAAGGCGCCTGGATATCCAACGTCCTCCACGAAGGTATCGGCATCCCCCGTCTCCTTGACGTCGGCGGCAACGACACCCTCACCGGCGGGGACGTCGGAGACACCAATGCCGAAGCCGAACGGCGCGCTCGCGAAAAAGGTCTCCTGGAAGGAGCTGGGAATGGCAAGCACCATTTTCAGAGTGTTGACGAAATTGGGGAGACGGCAATCTCGTGGACGCTCGGCAAAATGGTCATTGAAGCGAGCAAGGCTGTTCAGCCGAGGGATACGGTGAGGGAAGGGGCGTGGACGAAGAAGCTTGGGCTGGGACTTCCGGCAAAGCTGGAAAATCGCTTGGAGGATATGGGGATACAGGTGGTATGGGCGTATGCTTTCTTGGCGTTCGTTCTGCTGGCTTGTGCGTTTGGGCGTAAGAAGAGGTATACCTCGACGCCAGGGCGAAGGAGAAAACCGAGCATATCGGATCCTTATGGGTCCTCTTCGAATGCGACAAGGATGTGGCCGTTCTCGCTCTGGGCGCAGCCCGAATATAGTGTGGAAGATGGCCCGATCGAGCCTATGCTCTCAGCCGGGAAACGCTCCATCAGTGCCCCGGGCAGACTACGTCTCTACACCCGACGTTTCTCCAACCTCCTCTTCAAACACATTCCCTTCCTGTCACCCCCACAGCATCAACCCTCTTACGGCCTCAGCCAACCTCGGTCTCGTCCATCGTCAGCCAACTTGTCACAATTCATACCCTCTCCCGCATACTCTGCACCTTCATCCCCGCGCACGTCGACGGGCTTCTTTGTGCCGGCTCATCAGGCCATGTACAACGGCCTTATGGCTGCAGCGCCCATAGGAGGGAGGGAGAGAAACAGCTTGACACCTGATACCATGTCTGGGGTCGCCTCGGCTAGTAGCATATCCCCCGTCCCGAGTGTCGGCAGCTCGCCGCCCTCAATGTCCCGATCGACACTCAACTACGGGCGCCCGTTAAAGAGCCGGCAGAATAGCTACCACATCCCACAACCAGCATCATCTCCTTCCGGCGGGTGGAACGATCCACCTTCGTCAATGCTATTGTCTACCCCCACTGCTGCGACTTCGTCGAGCTCGTCGGATCCTCTGAGCCCTCCAGCGGCGGGCGTATTGACGCCGACGGCGAACCATGGGAGCTTGCAGACTGGAGCGAGGGACGGGCTGGCGGGGATGCTGAGTAGGAATTCGAGTAGGGTCGGGCTGAATGAGTTGGGGTTGGCGCAGAGGAGCATGAGTAGGGCCGGGACGCCGGGGTTTGAGTGAGATGTTTGGGACTATTTTGGGGTATTTGTTGCATCTTTGTTGGCGTATATTGACCTATGCATGTATGAGTGTCACCAGTGAGTGTCGGTGTCATGCTTTGAAAGACACGAAGCAAGAATACATACGTCTAAAGACACACGGTGCAAAAAGCAAGTGAAAAAGCAAAAAAGATGGTCTCGTCCCGGGATTGAACCGAGGACCACCCCCAAAGCGACTCGAAAATCACCCTAAGAGGGCATGCTACCACTGCACCAACGAAACGGCTATGCCACCGAAGACCGGATATGTTTCGAAAACGCATGTCGGCTATGGGAGTGCAACTCAAGGCTGTCGTACAACTGCGGCCCCCTGTCAAGTTTACATCAAAATTCAATTTTGCGGTTTGAAATATGTGAATGTGCTTTGCGACCCAATAATAAGAAAGCTCTATACCAAGATGGGACGAACCACACAAGGACAGGCACGTCAAGGACCACATAGCGCTAACCACAACCATCCTTCTCCCGATAAAACCCCGGCTGGCCATCACTACATATCATGATCCCCAGGCACAGTAGTGACCCCCGTATAACCCTTGCGCTTTGGTTCCAGCACGCACTTGGATATCAACTTTTCATCAACTCTTTCTACCACCGACAATGGCAGACCGCAACCGCTGGCAAGCAGCAGCTCGTGAGTACATCGCCTGTCATCCTGTCCCATATTGCTCACCCTCAACCTTCCTCCCCCCACAGCCCCTCCCCATCCAGACCTCCTCGCGTTCGTCCAGAACCTGTACGACCAAGGCATGGCCAATTGGCGTGCCGTCAACACCCGGCTCGAGCAGGATGGATCTCCTTGGAGGTTTAGGTGCAGTTCTCTCGCACGTAACATCACCTGATGCTGACTGTGCCATAAGGTCGGAATATACCTTCCGTCGCTGGTGCGACGAGCATGGGGCGGACAGGGCGGCAGCTCGAAGATTCGGCCAGAGAAACATACCGCAACGCCCCATCGGCCTCTTCAACGGGTCCAACGAGCGGTGGTCTGGCGATGGGTATGACAAGCTCAGCGATTGGGGCTTCTGCTTCTATGGCTGGCAAGATGTTTTCTCTGGCCAAATCATCAGCATGTGCCTGCTCCCCAGCAATGTCCATCCTCAGAATACCCACTGGGTATTTCTGCAGGCGGTTCTGACAGTAGGCGGCAAGTCATTTCCTCCTCCCTGCTCGTCATGTTACGAGGCTGATATTTCCCTTGCTAACCTGTACAGGCTTCCCTCGCCAGATCGCGACTGATCCCAGCTCCGAAACCGATCAGTTATCGGGGACGCACGCGTGGTTAAGGTAGGCTCGCAGTGAGCGTCCACTACAGGCGGTGCTGATATTGTAACTCCACAATGTCCAGGTTGAATTACGGCCAGGGGGTATCGCCCTTGATCACGCCACACCGGTACCTCACGTCCATTCACGATATCACGATTAAGAGGTGCTGGCAAGGCTTAACAAAGCATGTGGTTGAGCCTGTCGTGGAGGCGATTGCGCAAGGAAGGGAAGAAGAAGGTTTTGTGCCCATGAACGATGCCCACATGTGAATTACTCTGTTCAAAATCCTTATCAGCCTGAGCGAGCTGACTGCTTTCAGACGCGTTTTTTGGTTTCTCTTTATACCGCTGATCACCAGCTCCCTCAACAAGTTCATCATCCTCCACAATCATCACAAGGTCCGATATCAGCGGGAGAAACGCGGCCCATCCGGGTGCAGGCGGATAGACGTGTGGAAACGACCCTCAGACTTTGGCGGTGAGCAACACCTCATCCCTCTCACTGATGAGGCCCGCGGCGTTCTCGAGGCCTGGAGCGAAGATGCCTACCGCGAGGGACAGATGGAGTGGCTGACGCCGGCCGAGTACGACATCTGTGCTGCTGGGCTGGAGACCGTGGGGTGGACAGAGCGCTGGCACTATCATGATGTGTGGGACTTATTCTCGAGGCTGATCGCTGTGGTGATTGACGACTTGTATCTGGAGCTGCAGAGGCAGTCTGACGAAGTAGACACGGATTAGAGTTTCTATGCACTATGCATTAGGTCACATACTGTACCAAGCAACAAGTTGAACCTATGGCGTGACGTAAGGCAGGAGCAGGCAGTCAGCGCAAGTTGCATGATTAGCGGAAGTGTCAGCAAGTTCATTGCTGTGGCCTGGCGCACATACGGGGCTGTATCTTGTAAAGTCTTGTGTATGCTGAAAATGCCCGATGTGCTTGCCAGGCATTATCTTCTGTACCGATTCAATTTCATACATTTTTGGTCTACATAAACACAGTACAAAGGTCGAGAAGCTAGAAACCCAAAAACAATCACATCTCCAAAACGCTTGATGTAAAGTTTGTAAACTCGACAGGGGCAGCACGAACGGAAGGCCGAAGCGCTCAGCCCCGCATCGGCCATGTCCGAAACCCTCCATCCTCGCCATCCAGTTGCCATCCAGTCACTCCTTCTTTCTCTCTTTCGCTTTCATCATCCCTTTCATCATCATCTCCCACATCGTGAGCCCGAACACCAAGGACCCACGATGAAGGTCCCCTCCCCCATCCTCTTCAGTGCGTTGTCCGCCTTCACCACGCTCATCTCGGCCCAGCTCGTCGTCCAAGACTCAACTTCCGACATCCACCCCCTTCCCCTCCCCCAGTCTCAGCCATCGTACACTCTCGAGGTCTTGGAGGACGATGTTTGGCCGCCTAAGGGGAATGTCAAAGTCCACTTGTCCACAGAACGGACATTTCTCCTGAACGTCCCTGATGACTATGTAGATGGGGAAGAACACCCTGTTGTGTTCTCTTTCCATGGAGGTATGTATCCATTCTCTATCCACTGCTCGTCTGGGAAAGAGCTGATAAAGATGTAGCCGGAGGATACAGCGAGAAACAACAACGTATCACCGAGCTCTCCGATCCCACCCTCAAGATCGCCGGGAAATCGTTCTTGACCGCCTATGCTCAAGGGGTAAACAACACGGATTGGAATATGACTCATATCTGGAAAGGCGCGCCGTATGAGAACAAGACTGTTGATGATGTGAGTTCTCCGACATGAATGAGAAGGCGAGACAAAGGAGAGGGCTGATAAGTTTGATAGATTGGATACGTCTACGACATGATCAAAGTTGTCTCCGACATCTGGACTATCGACCACCGCCGTCTTTACGCCTGCGGCAAATCCAACGGTGGCGGCTTTGCAGCCCTCCTCGCTTGCCGCCCCGACACTTCCGCCCTCTTCGCCGCCTTCCTCCCCGTCTCGCCCGCCCTCTACCAAGGCGTCTACTCTTTCCACGGCTGTCAACAAGACCGCGCCGTCCCGATCCTCCAAGTCCACGGTGTCGAAGACGTCATTACCCCCTTTTACGGCCGTACCCCGGAAGGTGGCTCATTCGGCCCCGAACCTGATATCAGACTCTGGCGGCGCGAGTGGGCTCTGCGCAACGGGTGCGTCGGGCGGTGGCCGGGGCAGTACCCCGAACCCGAGGTTCAGGAGATATATGAGGGGGTGTGGGAGGAAGTTTGGGATTGTGAGAAGGGGGAGGTGAGGGCGTTGAGTGTGGAGGGGTTGGGGCATGCGTGGCCGAGTACGTTGGGGTTGGATTTGGCGGGGAGGCCGAACCAGACTGCGAGCTTTAATTTGACGAGCCCGTATCTTGTAGATTTCTTTTCGAAGCATCAGCTTCCGTAAGGCAAGTGTATGCTGGCTAATGATGCATATGATATAACACCATGCAAACACAACTGGCCTCTTGAAGAGACCGATAATTGTGTTTGAAGGAATTATCTTGGATGAATGTTCCCACAGTGATTATCTGAAATAGCCGCGGTTACGCGAAGAGCTGTATCTCATGCAAAGTTCGAGATAGAGACCTGTTTTGGGGCTCAATGCATAGCTCAGACACGCCGCAATATGCACGTAGGTTGGGGAGAAGATACAGGCGATATTGCCTCCCTTCTCTGCCGGCCTCGACATACTGGCTGGCAACATATGGGCAACATATGGGCCAAAGTCGCCGTTCCTGAGCCGCTGTATGGCAACCGGTTTGAGCGCGCCTGAACGCTGTTAGGTGCGCGTCAACGTCATCCAGCTCCAGGAATTTTCAACAAGAACGCCGCCGTGCACTTTGTATCTCGCCGTAACATCTACTCTCACCCTCACCGCCCATCGACACGAGGCCGAAGCGTGCGATGGGGAAAGCGTGGCAAGCGTAGTGCGCGGTGTCGAGGGTGTCGCTGCAATTGCGCGCAGGGCCGGACTGCAAGGGTACGGTGATCATGAGCGACAGGGGCAAGGTGAGCAGTATCTTTTTTTGGCGCGCTCAACAGACGATGGGGCAAAGCGCTGATAACCTCTGCCATCAGGGTCTCGTCCCCGCTATCTCCAACGTCCTCCCGCTCGCCACACCCGGCCATTGCGCTGTCCACCTCATCCGGAATGTTAGGAACAGGAGGCGTATCGGTTCCAATGAAGAGGCTGTGAAGATCTTCAAGAAGATGATCTGGGCGGAGACGCCAGAGGAGTTCCAGCGGCACAGGGCCCAGCTTGCCGAACCTGCGCGCAACTACATCGATACCTTTGACACCGCCCTCTATGCTTGCCACGCTTTCCCCATGGCACGCTTCGGTCTCGTGTCCAGCAAACCGTCGAACAGCTCAACGGCTGGTTGCTGGTTGCCCGAGGAGGCGACATCATCACTCTCTTCTCCACCATCTTCGATCACCTCAGGGCGAGTCATCTTGAAGATCTTCGCAGCCTCTTCGGTGGAACCGATACGCTTCCTGTTCCTAACGTTACGGATCAGATGCACAGCGCAGTGGCTGGGTGTGGCGAGCAAGAGGACATTGGAGATAGCAGGGACGAGATCCTGATGGCAGAGAGGTTATCAGCACTTTGCCCCATAACGGGGGAGCGGATGAAGAGGAGGACGAGGAGCAGATGTGCGCAGGAATGGGATGGATGGGATCGCGGATGAGAGGATTGTGAGGCTGGAGCTGTTAGCGGGAACGGGGGCATTCAGTCTGGAGGAGATGGGGTTGTTGGCTATGTCCTGGCGTCCTCTTCCTCGTTGTGGAACCAAACAACGCGACAATCACACTGGTCGCGTACAGAGAAGTTCATTTTGGCGCACGCTGTTGTAGGTATATACGGTCGTCTACTGATTCATATCTCCAATGACGACAATGGGCAAAGAGCCACAGACAAAGAGCCCCAGAAGCCACCAAGCACGAATACAGGTAGCCTGACCCCCTCATTATAAAGGCCTCATCTCCATCTCAAAAAGCCTCGTCCTTGATCGGTGCGGCGGCGGCCGCCTGGTACCTCGCGACGTCCGTGGTCCGTTGCCTGGAAATAGAAATACATATCCAAGTCATCAGATTGTTGCCATATCTGGAGTAGGGAAAAGGATACCGCAGCGACAACTGAGCTCACAGCTTTCCCATCGGCCAGAGGTATAAGACGACGTGTTCGACGAGAAGAACGCCATCAAGAAACGTTGAACGGATCACTGCTTGATCGTCGAATCACTGTATCTATCTGCCAGTCTCAAAAATAGTTACTACTGCCCAGTGAGTTTTCACATCCCCGCCTGTCCTGGATGACTCGCTGATATGATTGTGAACAGACATGGACATGTCAGGAATGGACGATAGTAAGCTATGGCGCTCGCGAGACAATATAATGGATGCCCGAAGCTGATCTTCCCTTCAGTGTCGTCCACAAGCTCAAACTCCACCATGACCATGAAGATGTACTTTCACGGTACCCTAGGAACTGACAGTACGCCCATACCACCCCCCTTCCCTCAAGCAAGTACAGATGCTGATGGCTGAGATAGTGCTTTGGTTCGCCTCGTGGATGCCTTCTTCCGCTGGAGCTACTGTCGGCGTCTGTATCGCGCTATTCATGCTCGCTATCTTTGAGCGGTATCTGATGGCGTTCAGGCGGGCTTGTGATGTCGCTTGGCGAAAAGGGTGCGTTATGAGACCTCATCATTCTGGCGACTACTGTTCTAACAACGATACATTACAGTCAAATCGGCTACGCCCGTCCAACCGCTTCAGGACCCCTCCCCACATCAACCACCGCCACAACCACCTCCACCCTATCCCCTTCCAGCCTCTCCCAGCGCCACCGCTCCAACCCTTCCATCCAAAAGACTACCTACAACGCCGTCTCCGCCCAAGACTATCCCGTCAACCAGGATCACCAGGACCCCGACGCCGACGCTGAGCCGGTCACGCCCTACACTGCCGGTACCCAGCCCAGCTCGGGGTCTTCTGCGCCTTCGTATTCTTTGGCTCAGATGCAAGGCACAGGGAGGAAGGCGGAGAAGGAGACGGTGGAGAAGAAGGAGAAGAGGGAGGAGGGGTACGCGCATTTGCCGAAAGCTGTGCGAAGGGGCCTTGATCCCGGACGAGAAGATCGGTGGTCTCGCCCCTTCCGATGGGGTGTCGATCTTCCCCGGGGTCTACTGCAGGCTTTACAAACGACCATCCACTATCTCTTGATGTACGTTCTTCCTCCTCCTCGTGACAGTGGAGACGGAGCTGATAAGGGGCATAGGTTGGTGGTGATGACGTTCAATATTTGGTGGTGTGTTGCTGTGATCGCGGGGAGTGGGGTGGGGGAGATGTTGTTTGGAAGAATGGGGGCGAGTCATGGTGGTCATTGATTGTTGAGCTTCTTGTAGTATTGTGCATCATCTGTTTCGTTAGAATCGAAGGCTCTCTTTCACCATCCGCAGCGAGCTTCCGACCGACCGCCTTCATGACCAGAGTACTGTACTCGTACTCGAGTACCGTCGTTGTTTACAGCTACAACGCCGTATGTTGGATACCACGGGTGACTTTCATCCAATCTTTCGCACCTCCTACAATATTAGCAGTGTCACTACCTCATCCGCCTTCTCCGCCATGCTCTCTGTCACCCTCGGCGCCAGGCTCTACCCTGCAAGCTGCTTCAAAGTCGATGATTGCAAAAACGTCCATCATCACGCGGGCGTATGTGGCGAGATCCCACATCGCCACGTAGCCCGCGCACGGCATGTACTTTATCTCCCGATGGAGGCTTTGAATTGAATTTCCAGCCTATACAAGCCATTAGCGCCTGCTCACCATAGCCTAGTAGCAAAGCCTTACCTGTCCTCCAACGGCAGGTCCCACAGTTCCATGTCAAGAATTTGTATTTGTGTTTGCACCCTGTGAGGATTCGGCTTCAGAAGGGGGAGGATTATTCGATCACGAAAGGGGAATCCTATCCAGTGTACGTTCAGTCTCATACGTACTTGCTCGACGGCAGGAGTTTGTTGAGCTGATACTCGTACATTGTAAAAGTCATATAGCGCACACGACACCTTGGTGGAATGACACTGTCAGAGATGTGGTGGATGCTGTATGCTGTACTCAATTCATTCAGCAGCTACATATGAAAATGGCTATGATGTTGCCCTCCTTGCCTTGTTCCCGTAATGCAGTAAGGGTCTTATCAGCTGTTTTCTCCCCACCCAGAAAAAAGTGTAGCGATGCGCATTCGCCACCGTCCATCTCACTTTATGCTCGTATTGTTTATGCGTTGGTAGACGCTGCCTGTTAGCACACATTTACACATCTGTAAGCATGATCTACCAGAGGCGAGTGACCCACGCGGTGCAGCGGCGAGCATATGGAGATGTCTCGAGCTCGGCCAGTTGACCATCTCTCTCGATAACTAATAGCCCGAGTGCGCGCCTGGAGGCCGGAGGCCCCCACGGACAAGGCCGGCCTTAGCTTGGTCGACAGCATTTTCACCAGCGACCCGTTTCCACGCACAACCTCGCAGTACCCGGGCCTTGGGCTCGGGTATACGTGAGCACATCTCCTACTTTCCAGTGAAGGCTTATAGTACAAAACGTCCGAGCACTGACTCTTTCTCCAGCAACAGCCCATCTACTTTCATCTGACTAATCAGATATATTCACCATGTGTAAGTCTCCCTGTGTCTTCCACAGTCCAGCAGGCCAAGCTCATATCCCACATAAGCTTGCTGCAGCGACCTCCCTCCCGTCCAGGCTGAATACACCCCCAAGGGTACCTACACTACCTTCTCTGGCCTCAAGACCTATGTCGTTGGCCCTGGAGACGCCAAGGCTGCCGTCCTCTACACCTACGATATCTTTGGCTTCTCCCCCCAGATCCTCCAGGGTAGGTCAAAACTCCTTTATCATCATGTACGTATCTAGCTGACAGTCGCACAGGTGCCGACCTCATTGCCTCCCAAGGCTACCGCGTCGTCATGCCCGACTTTCTCGTCGGCAAGTACGCTACTCCCGAACTCTTTGCCCCCGGCGCCGAAGCCAAGAAACAGGAATACATTTCTCAGTTCCCCGCTGCTATCCCCACCCAGTCTAAACCTTTGGCCGACTCTATCGCTGCTTTGAAGGCTGCTGGCCACAGCAGGGTCGCTATTCTTGGTGCTTGCTGGGGTTACAAGGCTGCTGTGATGACTGAGGGTCTTGCTGGTGTTGATGTGTTCCTTGCTGTCCACCCTACGTGAGTGATCGTGGTGATCACAAGAGCGTTGTTGACATCTAGTGTAGGTTCCCTGCCCCCGAGGACGCCGAGAAGATCAACGTCCCTACCCTTATCCTCTCTACCTCTGGTGAAGACAAGTCTGTCGTAAGTATTCCCCATACTCTTCTCGTACCCATGCTCATGTCGATTAGATCGACGCCATCGAGAAGGGTGTCGAGGCCAAGAACCCCGGCAAGAACTTTTTCAAGCGCTACGCCGACCAGCAGCACGGTTTCGCTGCTGCCCGTGCTGATGTAAGTGCCCCTTCCTCATTCGAAGTGGCTGCTAATGTATACATCTAGCTCTCTGGTGGTGACACCCTCGCGGCCTACGTGGAGGCTTACCAGCTCATCGTCAAGTTCTTGAAGGAGCACCTCTAAGAGAACGGTGATTTGTTAGAAGTAATCCAAAGTGGCATGCATGCAACTGTTTTTATGACTTGCCCCGCTGACCAGTTTGCCTTCTCCGGCAGGGCTATCTCATGGACCGAAACGCCAGTCAAGAAGGCGAAGGGTGAGTCTATTTCTGGCTGAAAGGTTCGCATGGCGACTTTGTCTGCGGCCGCCAGTACGTAGCTCTTCCGCTTCCGGCTCTGGCGAAATTTCATTTCCGGGGGTCCTAAGCCGTTGAGGAAGAGCAGCCGCACCAGGAAGGGGAAGGAGAAGGAGGATGGGGATTTCGAAGGATAGATGCTTGTGGGGTCGAAAAGAAAAGGTCAGGATGCATACCATGGATCTGCCATCTTGGCTCTACTTTTCTGCGTTCGTTACGGGTCCCGCCGCTCGTCGGCCAATCCAACTCGGCCTACCGGGGCCCTCCCCTCCGCCCATCCGATTCCATATCATAACATCCCGCCACCTCCGCGCAATACGCAACCCACAATATCAAGAACGATACAGATCCACGCCATGGCCCAGTTGCAAGAACAACAACCACATCCGGCTGCATCACATGCCAAAGGACGACGGATTGTCCCTGAAACATCCCATCACCGATCCGGATGATCCTCGTCGCCTCGTCATGCCCAGCAAGGACAAGACCGTATGCATGCTAAACTCTGAAGACCCAGCTGGCAGTGTGCCATGCAGGGTAGAGCCAGGTCCCGAACGACCAAGCCGAGATAGGCAAGCAAGCAAGCATCCCATCACCCACCGCTCAAGCCTCCCCCCTTGTCCCTCCCCGTCCTCTTCGTTCAACGACATTTCTATCTCTCCATCATCTTTTACATCTCCACCCCTCTACAGTCTATAATGTCCGTACAAGTCCTTCGTTCTCAGCAGACCAGCTCCTCGCCTCGGGATCCCCTCAAGCAGACGCAGGCGTCCCAAAGGATCGAAGTCGGTACTGGTGAGTCCCCTCGCTCTGGTTCTTACCTCGCCCCTTTGCCCCTTTCACCGCCACCATCCTCTGGCTCCGGTATGGCCTACACGGTGTTCACCCTTTGACATTCCCTGCTTGCTTGCTTCATCCATCTCTCGACGCTTTCGTCGAACAAAAGGAATACAGGCCTCCTTTAGCCCCTCCTCCGTCCGAGAAGAAACGCGTATTGTTCTCCCCTTCCGGCGAAATATCCTCATAAGGACCCATGCTTCTTTGCCTTCTTCGGCGACATCTCCTTCCTCTCTCCTCCTTGCTTGGCGACCGTCGTTCTCCCACCCGGAGCTTGTAAACTGTGAACTAAAGAATGTCTAAATCGCTAACTCTATCTCTCCCTTATTCCTCCATCTGGACATACGACCCGCCTTCCTCCCCCGTCTTCTATACCAAAGGCCTCAACCGATCGCGCGGAGAATCACTAGGCAAAGACCACCCGAAAGAGAAAGAGAAAGATAAAGATTGGGAACGTGAACGTGCAAGCAAGTCCAAATCTACATCGCAGAGCCCTTCCACCATCCCCCGAGCGTCCATGACGTCCGATCCCATCAAGACCAAGACACCTTCGTGAGCAACCGTCTTCTTTCCCTTCTTTCCCTTCTCCCCAAAAGCGAAAACGAAAAAGTTGAATGCTGACACTCGTCTCAAGAGCAAAAGCCAAAGTCCTCCCCTGGGTTCAAGGCGTACACGACTCGGAAGGCTCGATCCCAGACGGCATGTTTGGTCCATACAACTCGCGGCCGGCTTCTATGGTGGAGCAGCCTACTACGGCGCCTAGGCATCCGTTCGCTTACACCCCCGCCTCGAGGCCGAGTTTGCCGTTCGCAGCCATCGCCAACAACTCCAACACTGGTGCCGGCCACCAGGCGCAGAGTTCGAAGGGGCAGAGGCCGGAGAGTGAGGCGTTCAGTCGGGGGGCGGGGATGAGGGATCTGTCAGGTGGGCATGTGCTGGGAGGGGTGAGGGTGAGGGGGGATGAGACGCCTGCTGGGGAGAGTGGGACGAGCCCTGGGGAGGGGACTTTTGGTATGGAAGGCAAGCCTGGACAGCGGACTGTATGTCTTTTCTCTTTCTCTTCCCTCTTTCCAATCTTGAAGGCCTGTATTGACTTGAGTCCAGCCACCCCCGCTATCAAAATCACCCCTACCACCGACGACCAAACCCCCCTCGCCCGACTCGCCTTCCAACACCAGACAAGCACAAGAACAAGAACACCACCTCCACAAACCGCACCACCCCTACCCTTTCTCCCCCGCCGAAGCGCTCGCGAAACAGCGGTCCGCAATGGCTGATGCCCGTGCCGCCGCGCTTGCGCAGCTGGAAGCGGCGCAGCATAATGCTGACGAGCTGCTGGAAGGCCAGATGAGGGAAGTTTTGTCTATGGACATTACTCAAGACGGCGGAGGCGGTGGTGGTGGGGAGGGGGGGCAGAAGGAGAAGGGACCGAGACAGACGTTTGATACGACCACAAGCGTACCGTCGTTTGGACATATTCATCATCAGAATGGGATGCCTATCTCTACTCGTCCATCCCTCCAGACCGCGCCCGACGGCTTCTTCCCGCCCTTCTCCCACGCCCAAGCACAAGGGCACACTTCAGCACCGCCAGACGTCTTTCGAATCCCATTCGGCGTCCCCACCGGGACACACGTCCCGAGACCATTAATGGTCTTACGCGATTCCTCCGGCGGGGCTGGTGGGCTCGGGCTCGGGGGACTAGGGGGACTGGGTGCGCTCGGGGCGTTCCCGGGCTTGGGCTTGGGGTTGTTGGATATCATCGAAGCGGAGAGGGAGGAGGCGGAGCTGCAAGCTGCCCTGGCGGGTGGGGGTGGGCAGAGGCGGGGTGATGAGAGGAGCGCGTATGTTGAGACTGTGCCGGATGTGAGTCTCTTGTTCAAGGTGGAAGGGAGGTGCTGATGGATGCATGGTAGGAGGAAGAAGTGCTCTCACCGGAACATACGCTCAGGACGGATGGTCGGACGGAGGGATCTCGTTCGCGCGCTGTGAGCCCGGCGGCCGCACGGACGGAGAGTCATCTGCTAGTGAGTATCTACTCTCCTTTGTTGGGTGTTTCGTTGAGTGATCGCCGGCTTCCTTTGTGCCGCACAGACGCCCCTTTGTTCAGTTGAGAAGAATGAAAAGCTCACATCCGCCCAGCCCTCGCATTCACAACACCCCACCGAGCGTCTATTGCCAACGCAAGCCACCCGCGCACCGTCTTCCCCTCTCGTGCCTTCGCCCAAGCCAGCATCCCAAGTGCCCTCCATGGCCACCAAGACCACCGTCAGGGGGAGCAAGACTTCAAGAGCCGCAGCGAAAGAAGAAAAGAAGGCTGCGAAAGCTGCTAGCAAGGCGGGTACGGGGCGACCCCTGGCTGGTCCAGGGACCTCCGACTATACACAAATCCCACCTGATTCCTACGTCTCGACATTCCCTGGCGGTATGCTCCCTCGCAACCAACTTCAGTCAACGCACGGGACATCCCTCTCCATGCCGCCTCCGCCTCATTCTCTCCAAGTCCCCGGGTCCAACCAGACTTCTGGCAATGGGGGTGGGAGTGGTACAGTGTATACGGAAACGGGGGTGGGATCGGTGCCCGTCCCGGGCTCGGGCGCGCCGCCTCCGACGTTTGCGGGTACGCAGTATACGAGTATGGCTGTGCCCAACGTCAGCCAGATGGAGGCGCATGAGCACCCGCTTGTGGCGATGAGTGCTTGGGGACCGGGACCGGGGGGTTTGCAAGCTCAGATTACTGGGCAAGGGCAGGGGCAGCAGGCGGGTGGGTATGCGCCGAGTTTGCAGCCGCAGGGTACTGGGTATGCGCAGAGTCAGAGTCAGGGGATGCCTTCTCAGGCTGCGGCGTCTCAACAACAGGTGCAGGGTGGGTTCGCGCCGAGTCAAGCGCCGCCTGCTCCTCTGCAGAGTCAAGCTACGGGGTACGCTCAGAGTCAAGTACCTCCACAGGGTACTACGGTGTACTCTCAGGCGCCGCCTGCGTCTCTGGCTCCGCAGGCTACGGGTTATGCGCCGAGCCAAGCACATCCCCAGGGTACTACGGTGTACTCGCAAGCTCCTCCTGCTTCTTTGCACCCGCAAGGTACGGGGTACGCTCAGAGCCAAGTACCTCCTCTGGGTACGGTGTACTCTCAAGCCCCGCCAACGACTATACATCCCCAAGCAACAGGCGGCTTGCAGACTCAAGCTCCTTCGACTCATGCTCTGACGCAAGCGCCAGGCGGGACGGTGTACACTCAAGATCCAAGCACCATCTTCCCCCAAGGTTTGGGATTGGACAGGCTCGCAGCTGCGTTCCACGGCCAAGTGCCAATGAATTTTGGTCAGGCTATAGCCCCTGGTCAAGCCTACAACGCAGTGGAGGAGAACCATGAAGTCCAAGTCAACCATTCTCCTCTCGAGTCTGGTCAAATCGACGAATCACTCCTCTCTCCAACACTCTCGCAGCCTTCATCTTTACCTTCGACGACGCTATCCAACGTCAAGCGCCTTATCGATTCGAGTCGGTACCACGACGAGACGCTGTGTCAGCTGCTCGATGCTGCGAGGCTCAACCTCATCGGGGGCGAGGCGAAGAAGGCTTTACAGCGAGCTGCTAGGGCGCGAGTCGTCGAGCTCAAAGAGCTGCGCGAGAGAGGGGAAGAAGAGGACAGAGGGGGTGAGACCCCTGGGTTTGGGAATGGGCACTCGCACTCGCATTTGCATACATTTGTGGCTACAGAGTATGACGAAAGCCGTGAAAGTCGCGGGAAGGAAAGGAGTAAGGAGAAGAGGAGGAGGAGGTCGAAGAGTAGGAAAGGAAGGACGGCTAGTGGGAAGAGTGACAAGGCGAGGACGACTGTGGCGGTTGAGGAGAAGGAGGAAGGTGCACCCGCTTGGGCTCAGGATGTGAGTCTTCTTCTTTATTGAAGGATTATTTTTGGGGTGCTGATAGAGAGGTAGATTATGGCCCGCCTGACTGCATTCGACCAGCGATTCACAGCGCTCGAAGGGCAAAAACCAACTGACCAGCCCCTTCCACTCTCGTCCCGACGGGAAGCGTACTCGCAATTCTCGCGAGAGGTGCCAAGCGGGTTGATCGATGATCTCATCTACAACGGTCTTCCCAGTAGCGGTCCTACTGGCGGCGGTGTCGACAACTCCCAGGGCTTTCCGCAGTCTGCTGCTGTCGCTGTCGGTTCGGCTCCAACACAGTCTCAAGCTCCTCCGACGATGGATGGTATTGGGGTTGGTGTTCCTCCTGGTGTAGCTCAGAGTCAGAGAGCCGCGAGCGGTGTGCCATCGCACTACAGCCATATGCCTATTCCCAACGTATCTGCGGGTATCACTCCAGGCCAACATCAGCCTTCTCAGTATGCTCCTACCCAAGCTGCGCCCTTCCAGTATGCTCCCACCACCCATCAAAACGCGCCTACCCTTGCGCCTACGCAGATATCGCGCCAGCACCACCCAGGCGCAGGCGGCGCTATGGGCGGTCCTCGAAACGCTTCGGGCGATTTGCTCTGGGGTTCAGAGGTCGAATTGCCCAAGATGGGTACCACCCCCAAGAAAGGGTTCAACGAAGGCCCGACTATCAATATCCTTGCGCCTACCGAGTCTGGGCCGGGGACTATGGCGAGGACGGTATCGGGAAAGTCTATTGAGACGGAGCGGCTTCGGAACGGCGGTGGTATGGATGCGGTGACGAATGATGAAGCTGTTTCTGAGCATACGCTGCCTACTGCTGCTTTGCCGGACCCTAGGGAGAAGGACTTGCCTCCGCAGCCGGCTGAGAGCGAGCAGAGTCAGCCGCCGGGTTCGACGCCTGATGATGCTTTGACGAATGCTCAGAGGAGTGTTTCTGGCACGCATCTTGCTTCTCACGCGCCGACGACGACGGTGGCTGGGACGGTACCGAGGCAGATGAGCCCGCCTGGGGTGGGGAGTCAGTATGCGAGTAGCTGGCAGCCGGATCAGTGGCCGCCGAGGTTGAAGACCAAGACTGCTGGAACGCAGCCTTCACAGGCTCGAGGTTCGCCTTCGCAGTATACTCAACACCCCCAATCGTCGCACATCGTCCAAGGCTCGCCTTCGCAACTACGGCAGCAGGCTCAGACTTCCAAGTCTGTCCGAGGCTCCCCTCCCCCACCCGTGCCTACGCAAGCGTCCAACCTCACGCAAGTGGGAATGCTTGATCCGAACATGCCGATGTGGTCGGGTCATGAGACTGCGCTAGGTACGGGCACTGTCGCGGGCCGACAGGGGACAATGTACCACACGGCCATTCAAACGCCTTCGTCCGTCCGTCCTCCGACCGCTTTTCCAACTCAAACTTCGAACCCGACCACTTTCCCCGCAAACAGTACTGCCCAGCCCCCGCTGCTCGAGACCATGACAAGCCTCCAAGCAGCCTCCAACATTCTCTCAAACGACTCACCCCCTCCCTCTAGGCGAGATATTCTCCGCATCACCGATCCTTTGGCAAGCGGGCCGAGTGGGGGCTGGCGGCCGTGGGATCTGTTGACGCAGAGGCTGTATAGCTGGGCGTTGATTATGGAGGAGAAGAGCTTTGTGAGGGCGTTGGAGGATATTAGTTTGGGGAGGCAGGTGGGAGAGTTTCCGTTGAGCGTGTTTATGATGCTGGCGTACAAGAGGTGAGTTATCGTGGAGTGATTAAGAGAGTGATGCTAATTAGAGGCGTTAGATGGGTGAGAAAGACGCTGAGCGAGAATCCGGCGGCTCCTTGTGACAAGCTCTTTGTCCCTCCTAATCTTGCTATTGCTATCAACGCGGCGGTTCACGGGGTACGTTCTATCTCGTGTTGTTGTTTGCGCTTTTGCTGATGCTGATTGTAGAGGCAATACCGGGAAGCCAAAGAGATCTTGTTGGACCTGTGGGACTGTGTCGGGCAGAAAGAACCTCCGAGGATTATTGTAGCTCTTGCTCCTCTAGGAGACGAGGTGAGTACTGAGAAACCACAAGATTCGGGACTGTACTGATACTCTACCAGGTTGATGAATGGGCTGCCCATCGATACGACCTATCCAACAAACACCTCACCTCCTACCGCGTCTCTCACCTCTCCGAAATCAAGACCGACGGGCGTTCTTTCTGGTGTATGTTTCTCTCCTTCTCTATTCGAAGCCTTTCGCTGATATGATATCAGGGTGGGAGGTCATTCGACAAGCCTGGCCACAATCAAATGTCCCTACTATGGAAGAGTTGGAGAGCCGCGGTGGACAGAGAATCATCAACGAGCATCGCGCCCCCGAATACAAGCATGAAAACTCGTTGTATGCCGCCAACATCAGTCGCAACCTTCTACTGTCAGTATCCCTATTCCCATCTTCTCTCACTTGTGTATCTGCTGACCAGTGATAATAGTGGCCATCGCCCCGAACGAACCCACGACCTCACAAAGCAAAGAGAAGTGATCTGGGCAGAGATGAAGAGGTTGCTAGGGAAGAAGAGGAATGGGAGGTTGATTGTCGATCCGGATGCGCCCGAGCACCTCTACGACACGTGAAAGAAGTTGCCCGTGAAGATTGAATGGTGGAGAAGGTATGGAATGTGTATATGTGTGTTTATGGTATGGTGATAGAGCTTTTATTGTGGTAGAAAGCGATGGGGATCTTTAGTAATCTATACGGATAGTTTGTGTCGAATGCATATCTTCTCATCACTCTGTGAAACTCTGTGGTCCACGGCCAGAAGAAGATAACACTCTGGTCGACCCGGACGAGCTTGACACTTCGGTTGTTCCGATCGAGTGCACTAGGATTGCAGAAATGCAACAATGGTAAGGCTGCTTCCACGAATCTCCTTTCTAGTTCCCGAAGAGCGATCGATGTATCGATGTTACTATTCTGTATCCTTTGTCAACCTGAAACCACTCTTGCGTGCGAATGTATACTTTAGAACTGCAGCAGTGCCGGTCATTTTCCACCTTGTTCGCACACCGATAAAGTACAGCGTGCTGCGCTCAGCTATCAATCAACACAATGACCCAGATCCATACCACAGGGGCGACCGTGTCCAACACCAAGCCCTTCCCTCCCTCAGCCGTCATCGTTCGCCCGGCAACCATCGACGATATGCCCCGCAAATCCGACATCACCAGCTGGTACGTCCTGAACTCGCTGTCCGAATTCATGAGCCAGCCCAGGACACTCGAGCAAGAGATCTCCAATTTCGACGCCTCCCGAGCCGAGGGGTTCCCGTACCTCGTAGCCGAGGTAGACGGTTATGTTGTGGGGTATACCAAGTTGCGAGCGTATAATGGTGGTGGGGGCTGGGCGCGTACGGCCGAGGTGTCTGTTTATGTGGACCATGAGTATTTGTACCGCGGTATCGGGAGTTTGCTTCTGCAGAAGCTATGGGATGTCCTTGGCCACCCGGAGAACTACGACGAATCGTGGCTAGGGGGAACGAAGAGGGGAGAGGCCCATAGCATCGTCAATGTGATTGCCAGGATGGTCGTCAATCCAGAAGGAAGGGAAAAGGGAGAGGGTCTCGCAAAGTTCTACGAGTCGATGGGCTTTGAGCGCACCGGGCGTTTGAAGAAGGTCGGATGGAATGAAGGTCAATGGTAAGTACTGCAGATTCGTATACGAGGGCGCATGTCCAAACTGAACGTTCATCCAGGCTTGACATCATCGAGCTCCAAAAGCGGTTCGAGTGAGCGATAAGAGACCAATAGACATGTGCTGCTGTACATTACAAGTAACATCTTTCCATGTAGTATCTGCCCGATCTCCCATTGATATCTCACGCTGGAAACCCGATTGTTCCGTTCTAGTATTCTTCCAGCCCACGATATCACTCTGCAAGATACACTCAGACGACCGAAATGGCATCCAACGTACTCCCCGTAGCCCCCTTCACACTCGACAAGCAGACGAGGCCGGCATGCCCGCCAAACAAGCAATGAAAGCCGCAGCAGCTCCTCGACGGACTTTTCCTCCTCCAGCTCCGAGTATACGGGTCCTCCACGACGCCACAGCTTCCATTCCTCGCCTGTTCCTCGAACCCCATCCTTACCCTCCCGAACGCCCACACCCGCCACGCAACCGCTCCCACGTCGTCATCACCAACGTGACCATCCACCGCTCCACCAAGAAGCGTTTGAAAACTTACCTCCCGAAGCCCAGAATTCGCGCATGGCGGGAACCATGTAAGCGGGGAAGGAGTCCCACCTAGTCGTGGCAGGGCGGTGGGTGTCGGGATGCCGGTAATGGAACAGGAGGTAAGTTTTCAAACGCTTCTTGGTGGAACGGTGGATGGTCACGTTGGTGATGACGACGTGGGAGCGGTTGCGTGGCGGGTGTGAGCGTTCGGGAGGGTAAGGATGGGGTTCGAGGAACAGGCGAGGAATGGAAGCTGTGGCGTCGTGGAGGACCCGTAGACTCGGAGCTGGAGGGGGACGGGGTCGAAGAATAGCTGCGGCTGCGGGTCGCCGGGCGGCCAGGGGATGAGTACCGTCGGGGTGACGCCGAAGGGCGAGGAGGAGGGCTTTGGCTAACGTACCTGAGGCGGACGTGGGCAGGAGGGTCGGCAAGGTAGTCGACGAACATTGCCGCCAGGTCTTCGTCGTTGGGCATCTCAGACCAGATACGGCAAGCTTATCAAAAGTTCATGTCATGGTTGGAAAAACCAGACTGGGGAATGGAGCGCTCGGGGTCGCAGCCGTCGACGAGAAGGAGAAGCATGGCAAGCAGCCGGCGGTACTCCGCAATGTTTTGTTGGTCGCGCTCGGCGAGAAGGCGTACCTCAAACAATTCGGGTCAGTCTTCGGCCAGGCAGTCGGTGAGAAAGCGGGTGAGGCTAGAGGGAAAGAGGAGATCGGGCATGATGGCCTTATGGTCGTCGAGGTCATATTATCCTAGCAGCGGCGGTCAGTTGGATCATCAGCCGAACGGTGAAACTCACCTCTGATTGTCTATATACGCCCAGCTCATCCATCCACCACCCCTTTTCTGTACTTTTATCTTCAGCCTCACTCTTCCCCCTCGCTTGCGATGCACCCAAGTGCAACAAGCACACGGCTCATAGCCTCGCACATAGATCTCCAAAACCTCAGCGTTGTCCGGCGCATCGCTCTCCCGCCAACATCGCACCTGATCTCTAAGGTACCACTGAGTCTTGTCTAGGACAGCCTGTTTGGCACCGGGGGAGAGGTAGTGGAGAGTTCCGTCGGGGGTGCGCTGGTGAAGATGATTTTGGATGGATGGTTGCTGTACACGCCCATGCTAAAGCAATGCCAGACTACTGTCTCTGAAATATAAAGAGGGCTTGAAAGTAACTCACGTAGCAGTCGCCGGTCGACGGCATGTTGGCGGTTGCTGGCAAAAGTAATGATGATGGAACACATCGCCGCATTCGTTATCATTTCATTCTTAAACCAGATGATTTTCTTAATTACACGAACCTATCAGATACATATCTGCGCTCTATATGGCTTCCCCCTGCATGCGCTCGATACCAATGGATTGTGGCTCATGTGCGCTTCAATGTACGTATAGGGCTCTAGCTACTGACCCCGAGGTGGAAGATCACGGTCAGAGGAGCGCAATCTCGAATGGCGGGCAAGGTAATATGGCGCGAGCAATATGCCAGGACTATTATACATTCGCGACAGGCATACAGAAGAGCCAATATGAAGTATCCAGCTCTACCAGTGAAGGAAGGAACACCGGCAGGACAATACGAGACTGCAGCCTGTCGATTTGTCAACGGACGAGCACGATATCACCAAGCAAAGACTCACCACCGGCTGACAGCAAGCCCCCGTCTCTCCTTTCTTTCGCGCCTAGTGGGAGACCTCGGGACAGAATTCACACTCCTCATGGCCCCGAAGATGGATCCTATCCGCTGCCCAGACTTGGCTTGGCGCCGATGCCAGCAACTTCGCCCGTACCTCATGCCTGACCTTCCGCTGGAGTTTCTCAAGGACAGCCTGTTTGAGGTCGGATGGCAGATGGACGAGGGTGCCGTCGGGGAAGATAGTGGTGCCAATGTTGGTAAAGACAATATCCATTGGGTTCCTCGCATTTGTTTCGTGCTCATCAAGGTCGCTGAAAATGACATCAGACTCGCTGCTTTGGTCCAAAGCGAAAGGAAGGAGACTCACTCCGAGTCAAAGTCCGTCCAGTACTTCATATCCTCCACGCAATAAGTGATGATATCGCGGGTCTGACTCGCACCTTCCTGGAACTCCGCGGGCACCAAATCGACGCAAGCCTTACTCCCACGGTGGGGGTACTCGACGCTCCTCATGTGCGGGTCCGACTTGCAATTGTGATAGCGAATGAAGCTCTTGTCGACCTCCTCCCCGAAGTAGATGTAGTTGGGGATCACAGACATCAGTTCGTCACATGTCGCCTTGGGGAGAGGATAGGAGAGACGCAGACAGACGTTGTGAACGTTCTTGAACGACAAGCAACGTCGGTGATGCCTGTCTCCAAGATTGACCCCGTTCTCGTCCATTTCGGTTTCGTCTCGGCACATGGCGTCGATGAGGTCGGGCCCCAAGCCAAGTGAGTGACGCCGTTGAAGATGCCGTCAAGCTCGTCGGGCACAGTACCCGTCTCGCGTCGCTCTGCGAGAAGTGCTTTCCACGCCTGAATAGCGTCGGTAATCGCGTCGAAAGCGGGTAAGGAAGCGACCACCAGCGACTTGCAGTTCTCAAGCAAATCCCTCTTGCTCGGCAAGCACCCTTCTCCACGAGCCTCCAAGCGATCGGCCCCAGTCAGCAGATCCTCGAACAAACCCCTCTCAACCGCCTGCTCGGTCACCTCGACGCGCTCGTAGAGGCGAGGGATGAGAGTGGTGTAGTGGGACTTTGAAAGGCTGGCGAGGGTGAAAGTAAGGTTGGGGTCGGCGAGCAGCTTGTCGTAGACGACGTTCTGGATCTCGATGGGGAGAGGGTCGAGGGATGAGATGTCGTAGGGGATGGTGGGGGCGGTGGCGCGGGGAGAGCAGAATTTGGAGTGGATTTGGGACATGACAAGGAAGTGGTGCAGATGCTGGTGGCAGTGTAGATACAGATGAAGATGAAGAATTTGTTATATTGAAAGAAAGTGCATATGATCAACAATGAAGCCGAAAAAAGGGTGAAAAAAAGAACAATAAGAAAATCGAAGAGAACAATAAGAAAATGCCCGAACTTTAAACACCGCGGAACGCCGAGGCTATTGTTCTCGCCGGCGGCCGGCAGCTATACTATCTCCGGATTTGCTCCGCCTCCCTCAGAATATGACCCTGTACATACCATCTTATAAGGCTCTATCCCTCTCATTATATCAAATTCCACAGCTATTATGAAAAGAAGACTCAAGGAAGTTTATGCTCGGAGAAAAAGTTGACCAAAATCGGACTCGTCAAGTTGAAAATAGCAGTCTGATTCGGCGCGCCCGACAAGTCCAGCCCCTCTGTCGTCGGCCACGAATGGCCCAGCCCCTCCACACTCAGCGCCCTCACCTCCCCTTTCGGACAATCCCAAACCTCTTCCCAGACACCATCATAGACTTGTTTCACCTTTGGCACAGGGTACTGCCCCGGGTAATCCCCAACACAGCCGTTCCGGAGTGCCCACTGTCGGCGCCAGAGACGCACGTCTTCTTCGGGGCCACTACCGCCGTCTTCGGGGGTCTTTCCTGCGAAAGGACAAGTCTGGTCTTCGACCCCGTGCGAATGCAAGATGTGAACACCCCGGTCGGTCTGGCATCCGTGAAACGCCATCGTGCCTTCATAGAGTGCGGGAGAAACGGGGGCAAAGGCAGCGAAGATGGAGGAAGTGTCGTTCCGACAAGCGAGGAGGGCAGCAAAGCCACCGCCATTGGATTTGCCGGAGGCGTAGATACGGGAGGGGTCGATATTGTAGGTGGAGGTGATGTTGGCGATGATGTCGTACACAAAGGCAATCTATCTAGTGTCAGCACATGCAAGCGTATAAAGCAACGAGAAGAGACTGGCATCGTCGACGGTGGTGTTGGCGTAAGGAGCTCCCAGCCAAGCGGCCGTCTTGTCTGCGGTTGTGTTGGCGATACCTTGTCCATAGACGGCTAGGAAAGGCTTGTTGTCGATTCGAAGACTGGGGTCGGAGAGGCCGGTGATGAGCTCTTGAGTGACCTTGTTACCATTCGCTAAAGCCCAACGTCAGCTCGCGCGTCTAAATGAGACGAATTGAGCAGCAAACTCACCGCCATGGAAGCTAAAGACCAGCGGATGTTTCTCTCCGTGCTTGTAACCCCCCGGCACGTTCAACAAAAACTCCCTCTCGCTTGGAAGGGTGATGTTGAAGCTGCCCGTGGGTGGATTATCGGTTCGCTTCACGACGTGCGAGTTGCCATCGGTGGCGGCGGTGCGAGGAGCAAGGAGGGGATCTTTCCAGGTGCCGGTACCGATGAAGGCCTCGTCACTGTCGAGATCTTGTGCGATCTCTTGGGTGGCTGCGGGCGCAGGGTTGGGATCGCGGGGGAGAAAGAGCGTCTTGGAGGGTGCTGCCCCAACGATGATGGGGGTGCCGAAAAAGCTCAAGACTACGAAAGCTTGGAGAAGCTTCATCTTTGGGTCTGGATAGCGTCGGAGACTTTGAAAAGGATCTGATTGAAGGCATGAGTTTATGTATGAGCAGCAGCAAGCAGTTCAGCTGACAAGTCAGGTGCAGTCGAGTCGTTGATGCCGGCTCAATTGAGGATGTTATTCGGTAACGACTTCGGAGGCGCTCTTGATCTTTGAGAGGAGAGGTAGAGTGGACTCAGGGGTATTTGTACTCCGCAATAAGGGTATAGAATCAGAGTCATGTGACCAGAAAGCTATGTCCCTCCGGCCTTCGGTGAGACTGTGATGTTTGGATTATTCACCAAGAACGCGTACTGATCGTTCGGGGGAGTCACCCGGGTAAGGTGGGAGGTCTTCGGGGAAGGTGGGAGTACATGGTGAATCCATGTCTTGCTTACATCGCCCGGGCATCGATCGAGATAGCACACATACCTCGCGTTCATGGGCGATGTTGCTGAATAAGCCTGATATAAAGTCTTTCCAGGGGGATCATCTCGACAGGCTTCGCTCTTGGCATATGTGGTGTCGATTGAAGTTAATCTGTAGATGAAAAAGTCAGAAGCCGGTCTAATCCGATGCGCAAAGGGCAATCAAGCGCTGAGTCAGCGTCTAATCCGATGCGCAAAGGGCAATCAAGCGCTGAGTCAGCCGCCTGCGGCCTCATCCCCTTTCAATTTGGTTCGGCTTCTTGTATTTCGGTCATCCGATGCCCCTCGCTGCATCATCGTCGTGTACGTTATCTGACGTTTATCGCCATTTGTGTCATCCTCGTACCCTGAAGTGGCTGATATAGTTTTTTTAGTACACACCGGCCCGGCAGAAACCCAGTTCCACTTGATGGCATGTATGTGACCTGACACTCGGGTTTGATACGGTGCCTCGCGACAAAGGATGTGAGCTGTTAATTGTCAAGATCTCAACAATTGGTCTTCGGTGGCATAGCCGTTTCGTTGGTGCAGTGGTAGCATGCCCTCTTAGGGTGATTTTCGAGTCGCTTTGGGGGTGGTCCTCGGTTCAATCCCGGGACGAGACCTTATTTTTGACTTTTTGTTTGCCAGTTCTTCTCTCTATCAGTTCTACGAGCGGTGGTCAGGTCGTGATGAGACTTTGCAAGACCAAGCTGACAAAGGGATCGACTGATGTACGGTGTACTGATGAAAGAGAAGATACGCGCATCGCGGACGTAAAGTAATCACTTTGGGCAAGACTTGTCGTCTCTTTTCTCATAGTTTGTTCGTGTATTTCCTCATCGGGATACGCGACTACCTTGTCCCTTAAGCATGTCGTAAGTCAACCTGGGCGAAGCGTAACCCAGTGACTCCCCAAGCTGATTTGCCTTGTCGTCGTCACTCGCCCTCACAACCTGTTCCTCGTCGCCCAGACTTGAACACGTCGCCATCTCAAACCTCGCTGCCCCTCCGTGGGATGGTCCGTATCTCGACTACGATGCATGAACGACTCCTTCTCCGAAATAGACACAGCAAACGCTAGGGACGGGGTGCCAAGCGTGTTACGGATTGGCTTTGGGTGAGCATTCCGAGTTTGTTTCTTGGAGCCGAGACAATCGCCTAGAATCGAGGCCGAGTCCAACCCGGCCTCAGTATCAGCCTATAAAAGTGCTGATTCTCTCTGACGTTCCGACTCCCCATCAGCTGCGCTGCTCACCCATTTCTATTGTCTACTTTAGCTTTTTCATTCTGGCCGGTCCAGCTCTATCTTCTTTCGCCTACTCAGCCTCTCGTCAATAAGCTTTCGCATTCAGTCCTCGCATAATCAACAGCATCCATAACACTACAGTCATGCTCGGCAAATACCTCTTCACTGTCCTTCCTCTCTTGGCTCTCGCCGCCGCGTCTCCCGTCAAAAGGCAGAACGGCACCGCTTGGCCTGCTTTCGCTGCTCAAGACTACGCGTAAGTCTAATCCCCCACTTGATTATTGTCATCATGATCCTCCGCTGACGCAGTCGAGTAGCGATTTCCAGATCTCAGACGGTACCGCCGGCCAAGCCCAAGCCGCCGCCAACGCCGTCTTCGTCGACCCCTTCAATGGCTGCGACCTGTCTACTGTCGATGCTACCAGTCTCAAGAATATCCAGACTATGCGGGAGGTAGGTTCTCTTCTCCCCTCATTGCGAGGAGAGAGCAAACTAATCCAAGTATAGGCTGCAGAAGACGCCGAAACGGACCAGTTCAATTCTGCTATCGACGCTGCTAGCGGTGATACCGCCGACGCTCTTTCAGCAGGCAAGATAGCCAACAAGTACGTTCATCTTTTCCATCTTCACGATCAAGAACATATACTGATACTGCCGTAGGGTGTTGAAGCTTACGGGTGAAGTGCAAGCTCTTACGATCCAACAAGCGCAAGGTAAAGATACTGCGGACAAGATTGCTGCTGAGCAGGTTCGTCTCCTGCCTCTGACCTCCGTACTCAACATCGTTGACCTTCTTCCCTAGAAAAAGCTCGATAGCAACATTGCCACCGACGAGGCATCCTCCGGCTCTGCTATGACTGGCGTCACTGGTGGTAGCGCCAACGCTGCTGCTATCGCCGCTGACAACTCGACGACGTCTTCTACGACCGAGTGTACCAAGTCTGCTTAAGCTTCAGATGATTGGAAACGATGGGGAGATGGGGGCGGCTGAAATGGTGGGGTAGATAGATGGATCTGGTAGATGTTTTGATGTATTATTGTGAGCGGGAAGTATGCCATGTTTGTCGCTGCAGATAGGCTGGTTCATGCCAATGTCCAAGGGAGAAGAACGCTCACATAGCGAGTAGTGCTACGCGATAAGGATTACGGTCCAAAGTACTAGGGCTTGATGACAAGACACGGCGAGCTGGCGCTTCACCCTGCCTTTCTAGCCTGACGTGACAGATGTCATGAAAGGAAGTGGCCAAACATACAACAGCAAGCGTGTGTTTGCTTTGAAACAGATTGGCTATGTATTGATCATCTCCTCAGTCTACACCTTCCATCGTGTGAAGGGGATCAATACCCGAAAGAACGTTCTCAGCTTCCATACACACTACGAGAAAGGACGGAGTCAGAAGGCGCTGGCTGCGGGTGCGAGGGGTGACACAAAAGGATCGCGCTTCAGTTTAGGAGATCGAATGCTCCGAATACGTGCTCTAGAGTGCTTTCCACACCTCGCCTCAGCTCATCGACATTCTTCACAACCCAAGATCGCCCCACAACAACACCGATATGTCGCCCACAGATTCCAGACGAAGCAGTGTGATAAGCTCTCACCAACAGGATGTTCCTGCTGTTCCAGATGCACCAACCGAGGTGCAACAGCCCACAGCAGACTCGTTTGCATCTCACGACCATCTTCCAGCCTCGCCCGACCAGTCGGGGATGAATGGTCCATCATTCCAGCCTGATGTTGACCTTCCGCCTACTCGGCCGCCCCAAGAGGGTGCTGCTTCGTTGATAAGCGACCTATGGTCAAGGACTATAGCGTCAGTGAATTCGGGCGATATTGATAGCGCCATCTCAACGCTGAGAGATACAAGATGTGCAGGGAGGCGAAGGCGTCCAAGGGTACTGGCACGACCCGCATCTGGGAGATCAATTCTTCTCGAACTCGCCTGAAGGCTCTGTAGAGAGCGACGATGTGACTGGTTTGAGATCTGACCGCTACGCATATGGGGAACCCTATGAAAGAACTTATGAAGCCTATGATTTGGAAGACGAGTATGGGCCGGCAAGGCTACTTCCCATGGGCAATCTGAGGAGCCCTCACTACTCGGACGTTGACTCGCCTCTTCTCGGATCGATGAGGGACGATAATGAGGGTAATGTCAGGTCTAAGAGCTTTGTATTTGGATGGAGCGACGAAGAGGAGGTAGAGCAGTCTCATTGACACAGTCCCCTGAGAGGTGGCGTTGATAGAGTGATGTACGAGGAGGAGTTCATACCTCGTCATGAGTCTGATGAGGAGCCGTGATAGAGCGTGTATGATATGTAGTTGTTGTAAAGATCATCATTTATGGATATTTGATTTATATCTTCCGGTAGTCTACCAGCTTGGCCGCTGAATACCTTGGCATCACAGGATGTGAATAATAGGCATCACGTGTAAGAATCTCGAGTGTGAAATCCATTGCAACCTCGAGAGAAGAAGCCAGCTAATTCTAGAAGGAGAGTGAAAACCATCTTGATCCAGGCTTGAGCCCAAACGCTGCTGTCTCGACCTGCTCACTCACCTTTCTCAACCTCCTTCTATCCGGAAGATTCCACTATTAGCATCAAATTACTAAATTAGCAGCAGCCTGACGCGTTAGCACCTGCCTGAACATGCTCCTCCTTCCCGACTTGAAAAGGACGGAACGACGAGACGTTGGGTGTCACAAATGTATCCTTCATTTATGGTTGTTACAGAGCTTCAGTGGACCAAAGCTCCGCTCACTCTCGAGTCGTCGACATACGAATCTTCTTCCTATAAAAAGATACCCATCAAATTCCCTGAGCCTTTTACTGAAAACAACTTTTGCCACAACATAACAAATCATAAATGTCAGCCACCAGCTCTAGGCGGAGTAGCACTAGCTCTCACCATGCTGCTCCCGACCCCGTTCGCCTCTCTCCAGGCTTGACCCAGACAACAGATGTCCAGCCATCCGCAGTCGATACAGCAGCGTCCCCTAGCACTGATCAACAAACCCCCGAATCTCTACTTTCAAGAATCGATTCTCTTATATCAAAGGCTTTTGACGACCCGGAACGACCAATGTCGCAGGCCGACTTTTCCGCAAGCCTAAACGACATCATGGAAACACGACCAGAGACAGACCCAGAGCTGCAATTTTTGGAAAAACCTCTTTTCGGGCGTCGATCTGAATGAAGGTAATCACAATACGCCGAGAAGAGGCCAACAGCCACCCGCCCAGTTCAGTCCTGAGGACGAAAACTGTTCTCTCGACGAGTGGGCGCAAATGTATGGACTGTCGCTTTCCCCATCCCTTCAAGGGTTTGACATGGATAACGACGACGACATGGCCGAATGGAGTCGCCAGCTCATAAACTCGAATATGGGCCCTGATAATGCTGATAATGGGGGCAACGGTGCATCCGATTTTGGAATTCGAAAAGACTTTGATTCAAGTGGCGCGGGCTACAATAATAACACCCAGCGGCCTTATGGAAGAGCAAATGCGTCTCCGCTCTCTGAAGAACAGATCTCCCACGCGCACGATATCTCAGACGACGCGCAAGGCTTGCGAACCCACAGGTCTTGGGAGAATTTGAGGATGCGGTCGGCCATGGATTCAGCTCTGGCATACGAAAAAACAGTTCCGCAAGGCAGAGGCGGAGAAGCAAGGCTATGACAATAATGACGAGTTCAGTGACATGGGATAGACTTGCGCTGTGCGTTTGGTAACCTCGGCTATGCGATACGAAAGGGGGGTTCCTTAGGGAAGAGGCCGAGCGGGAAGGGTACGATATGCAAGGCGTCTTGGAGGAGGAGCGGGATGTGGAGGATACGGGGTATGAGACGTCATGAATAGAGCTCCATAGCCCTACTTGTTATTCTTGCTGCTGAGTAAGTAGATGGTGAATGTATATACGTACGGTGGATCTTTTCAAATTCAGGACCTTCCACCGAGAAGAGGCGGAGCGGCCGGGAAGGCTACGATATGCAAGGCGTATTGGAGGAGGAGCGGGTTGTGGAGGATATGGGGTACGAGACGTCATACGACTAAAGTGAAGTGCCCATACTCCTAATTGATATATGCTGTTTGGTAGATGTGGTGTTGGATAGTATACATACGAGTAGACCTTTTGGTAAGACATGCAGCCTGAATCAGAGACGAGAAAAGGCGGAATAAGAAAAGGTTCGGCAGCCCGAGCGTAAGGGCAGCGCTCCCCCTCTCGTCTCCTTCAAAAAGGGGGCTCTTTCCTGGTGTCTCGAGTATACATATACACATGTAACCTCGCAGACGACGGTCAAGTATCAGCCCCACCTGAGAGTCATAACATGCATACAAACGCGTAGAAGGACTGGAAGGACTGGCGAGAATATACCAATCCCGGGCCACCCAACAAGCCCAGCCTCTTCCGTCTCCTCGCATGTTCATTCCTCTTTACTCGTACGGTACGACTTACGAGTATGATTCTTTGTGCGGGATTTTGATGGAACTGCGGTACATAGGATGATAGGAGATATATGTACGAGGATCTGGATTGAAGCAACCGCGACAACAACAACGACAACAACAACAACAACAGCAACAACAACAAGTGCCCGAAATTAGAGCAGGTACGCGGGTCGGTGGTCGGTGGTCGGCTGGTGGCTGGTGGTCGTCGCTCAGATCAAGGAACTGAAAATCACAAATTGATCCGAGCTCGAGATCGACCGTCCATCATCACCAATCACCATGCAGCTAAAGTACGTATGTACATACCGCAAAACTGCGTAATGCACTGTTAGCGTCATATCGCTCAAACATGCCGCAGGGACGATCAAAACCAGCCACCAGGGCAGGGGGGGTCGACCACAAGCTTGCCACAAGCACCAGACAAGCCACCCATCTTCTTGCGAGTGCGAGTCGCGGGGCCGAAAAAGGCGGCCCACCCCGCCATCCATCCATGGACCATGCATGCCCCGGGCGGCCGGGCCCCCGAGCCAGCCACGTGCGTCGTGCCGTGCCTCGAAAACAAGCTTCTCACCCTGACCCAGGAACAATGCACCCAGCGCACTTTTCTTATTGTTCTCGAGGGATCTTGACAAGAGAACAATAAGAAATCATCTCACTTCGGCGTTTCGTCATGCTTGTGTCTTCATCGGGGTTTTGGACCACGGCCCACGCGGACCACGGGGGGAAGAGGGCGGAAGAGGGAGGAGAGGGAGGAGGAGGACAATAAGGATTGAGTGATTTGGCAAAAGTCTTATTGTTCTCCATTACGACGACTGTTTTTTTTACTTTGACTCCTTACGTCTCTAACGCCACCTTCACTACACCCACGCAGCACCCCACCCCACCCCACCCCACCCCACCCCACTCCACCACTCCACACTGCGTCAAGGAAAGACAAGAAAGACAAAATGCTCAGGCCATCGGTATCAGCGAGGGGGGGATGGGAAGAGAGGTGCTCCGACTCTGAGTTGCCGTCGCCTGCTTCGGGCGGTGAGGTGGTTGTGCAGGCAGGCGCAGGAGGGGAAGGAGGCGGGATTGTTGTATCGTTTGATTCTTCTTTGGAAGATACCGACTCTTCCAGATCCAGGTATGTCTTTCTCCCCTCAGGGGACTTGGGTACAACGAAAACGTGGAAGTGGAAGTGGGGGCTGATCTTATTTGTTCAGCTGTCGATACAAGAGTTCATCAGCGTGCACCAGTTCAAGCGACTTGATCCGCATCCTCCCTCCTCCCCTTGTTGCAAACACAAACACAAACACAAACACAAACACAAGAGACGAGCTGTCTACACTGTCCTTTCCGATGAACGTGCACGAGCCTGCGCATACGACCAAGGCGCCACGCCATCATCCTCCCTTACCACTCAAGCTCTCTGCGCCCTCGCCCATGACGTCCTCGCCCTTGAGCGCTGGACAGGGAGCATCATGGATCGATTTCCGCTCGCCCCCTTCGTCCCCTATGCCGGCGGTACGCCCTCCGAATACGACCTCCCCCTCATGGTCGCACCCCACCCGGGAACGGGAACGTGAACGTGAACGTGAGCGGGGAGATGGTCGCGCATGGGCAGGGATCCGCCGTGCGCTGTCACTCACGAACCGCAAACGCCCTTTGCTATTTTCCGTCGCAAAGGACCCCAAAGTGGAGGGGGACAGGGACGGGGACACAACGGAGGAGGAGGGAGGGGGGCGTGCGTTCGAGGGGCCGAGCGCAGAGGTGGAGATTGATGGGCTCGGCTCGCTCGCGTGGTTTCCTGCGCCGCCCGGACACGCGCCGCTGGGCCCGCCCCTGCTGCTGCTGCCGGAAGACGGGGGGGAGGAGGAAGTCCACTCGGACGACTCGCTGCCGCCGCGGACGCCCCCTTCGTGTCCGGACGACTCGCCTCTTGTGCCACACACGCTGCTGCCCCTCTCCCCTTGTGTGGCGAGACACGAACGGGCTCTCTCCCTCGCAGGGGATCTCTCGTCCACCTCTGCACCCGCAAAGATGGCCCACTGGCCTGGTACGTTTCATCTCCCATCCTATTGTTCCCTTTTCCTATTGTTCTCTGGCGTACACGCACCCCTCCGCTTTTTCCCTTTCCACATTCCTTCCAACATTCTATACCCTCGCTAACCGCCAAACACAGCAGACCCAGCACCGCCCGCCTCCCACCCTTTCCACCACAAGAAACAGCCCTCCGTCCCGCTCTCTACCCGCACAACATCTACATTCCCATACATCTCCTCCCCCATCTCTCCCTCCACACAGTACGCCAGCTCGTCCCTCGCGTCGCGCTCGTCCAACCGACATTCATCAAAGTATACTGCCTTTTCGGGGTCTACTGGCGAAAACGAAGGCGGCGAAGACGATAGCATCTACTCGTACTCTACCCTCGCATCGTCCCGCGGCGCGCACTGGCACGTCAGCGATAAACCCGACATCTCGACCGTCTTTGAAGAAGACCCTTCCGATAAAGGCGGGTTCCACAACGACTTTGCCCCTCCCCCTTCAGCCTTCACTCACAAGTCGGGCTCCCAATCCGAACGCGGTCTGCGCTACCCCGCGACAAAGCTCCACTCCCAAGCGTCGAGTAGCACCCTAGTCAGCAAAGCGACACACAAGTCTGTGCCAAACAACTACTTTTCTGTGCGCGACAACGCTTCCTTGTCCGCAACATCCGTGAACGGGAGAGAGAGGAGCGGCACGCCTTCTTCTTCATCGCACGGGACTGTTGTTTCGACAAAATCTACATCAGGCTCAACAGCGCACCCGTTCGCAAACGCCGTCGTCAGGCCTTCCACCCCGTCTTCCAAACCGAAACCTTCCTTTCTCTCTCCCCAACCTGCGCGTTCGGGTCCTACGCCTCTCACAGGCTTGTCGAGCTCCAAATCAGCGCCCGACCTCGACTCTCTCTCCCTTCCCCTTTCCCATACTCAAAGAGAGAGACAGAGAGAGATGCCGCCTTTACAGCCTGTAGTCGTCTCGACGCAAGATGAAGATGAAGACGACATGTGTCCGGTGTGCGTCGAGCCCATGGGGGCGACGTATAGGTTACCCGGGGAGAAACCGCCGATCGTACCGGAATGTGGACATGCTTTGCACGAGGTATGTTTTCGTTGTTTTTCCTTGTTGTTTGTTGGGGGTGGCAAAAAAGCTGATGAGATTGTAAAGGAATGTTTCTCGCATGTGTATGGAACGCCGCCGCCAGAGGGGTCGAGGAAGGTGTTGGGCGTTTGTGGCGTTTGCAGGCAGCCTATGAAGTTGGCTGAGGGTGGTGCCAAGAAGGATAGTAAGTCAACCTCTCGTCTTTAATCTTGTTTTGTGATTTCAAAAGCTGACGGGATATTCTAGAACTCTCAGCGTTGATGGGTCAACCGAAATCGGGTGGGAGCGTGCCAGGCAATAGGGCGCTACCCCCGCCTTCTATCCGGACGACATCGTCCTCTGGCCACCCCCACCCTTCTTCCCACCCCGCGCACTCGCCAGCTACGGGCTCGAACGCGCCCAAAGACCTCTCAGCCGACGACCCCATCTCCCGCCCTCCCCCTTCCTCCTCCCACCCTTCCTCCGCGTCAAACCCAAACACAAACGCAAACGAGAAGAACGTCAAAGTCCTCGTCCCCCAGCTCTCCATCAAATCCGAATTCCCCTGCATGCCAAAGAACGGCCGAGGGAAAGAAGGAAGGAAGGAGACGGTGACGTGTTTGGTCACTGTTACTGTGCCGTCCCCGAGGATGGGCGAGAGGGGGAGGTATGCGGCGATGGTGAGGCCGGTGGTGGGTCTTGGTTTGGGGATGGGGGTGGGCGAGGGCTCGCCGCAGTCACCGCCGTCGCCTACGTCTACAAGAGATATCCTCCCGTCTCCTGCTCAGCCGCCGAGTGCGAGCGCGAGCGCCAGCGGTACAGGCGGACCGGCAGACCCATTCACCCGCGTTTTCGAAGATCTCAAAACCCGCATCATCGACCCCAAAACACTCAACGCCCCTTCCCTCGGCCAGCTCAAGCTTTTCGACATTCTGAGCGTGAGGAAGGGGAGTTTGAAAAGGGATTTCCATGTGTATCTGTGTACGGACGCATTGGTCTGTGCGGGGGAGGAGAAGAAATCTGGGTTCAGGCAGATCTTCTCGTCAGCCGGGGGTTCTATGCGCAGCGACCATTCCGGCCACTCTGGCGGCACCGGTGGCGGCAAGGGTATGGTCCTCCGCCTCAAAGGCCGGATCTACCTCCGCCACGTCACCGCCGTCCTCGACCAATCCACCCCTTCCGAGCTCGCGCTCAACATCTCGATGGGGGACGACCACCCGGATTCGTTCATCCTCACTTTCCGGGAACGCGGGTCGTTTGAGACGTGGAAGACGACGATAGGGAGGATGATGGAAGAGGCGAAAGGCAAGAGGGAGAGGGGAGGAGGGGGAGGGGCGGGGAAGATATTGGGCCCGGGGATGCCGGGGAGTTTTACGAATATGGTGTCGCCGCAGCACTCGCCATATACACCTGGTTCCGCGGCCTTCTCGGCGTCCTCGCCCTCGACGTCGACGGTGCAGGACCTTCCTCCTCCCCCTTCTTCTTCTTCTTCCACGCAAGGGTCGACGAGCGACTTGGCGTATACCACCCCGCTCGCACCGGTGCATACACCGCTGGACCTCGTGCTCGTCGTTTCGCTATCGGCCTTCGCGCCCGGGCAGAGTATCCCGCTCAAAGTGAAACTCGTCAGGCAGAGCTTGGCGTTTACGCTCGCGCTGCTCGGGGTGAACGACAGAGTCTCCCTCGTCTCGTGCGAGATGGGCTTGAACGGCACATTACGCAAAACACCGTTCTTATCGCCATACCTCCCCCACTCGAGGCAGAGGCTCGAAGCGTTTATCGAAACCCTCGGCCAGGGGCGTCCTTTTGGAGATGAAGAAGGAGGCGGAGGAGGAGACGAGTTTGAAGTGCCTGTAGGGAGAGATGAAAAGTTGGACGTGGTGACGGCGATAAACACCGCGCTCGACGTCGTGCTTCAACGCAAAGCCAAGAACCCGCTGTCGGGTATGGTGGTCATCAGCGAAACGGCCGATGGTCTGCGGAAAGCCCAGATGGACCTCGTCACCGCCCGTCTCGATGCCGCGCACATCCCCGTGCATGCTATAGGCTACGGCAGGGTGCATGACCCGTCGCCGCTGTGGATCGTGACGTCGCATACCCAAGGCGACTATACGTTTGTGAAGGAGTGGTACCACCTGAGAGAGACGTTGGCCGGGGTGGTGGGCGGGATGATGAGTGTGGCGATGGATAACGTCAAGCTCCACGTTTCGTGTGTCGACAATGACTTTAGAGTCATCAAGATTGTGGGGCCGGTGGGGACGGTGGTGGTGGGCGCAGGGAAGGAGCTGGATGTGGAATTGCAAGAACTGCATTACGGCCAAAAGCGAGAAGTCATGATCGAGCTCGAAGTCGAAAACGCCGAGGGCCGATATTCTGGCGAAGGCTCTTCAGAGTCATGGGACCCGAACGCTTCTCTCCGCCGGGCGCCTTCATCCAACCTCGGCATGGGCCTCCTCAGCGTCGCCGACAATGCGTACGAAGATGCGGTGGATGAAGTGCCAGTATGCCAAGTCGACCTCGCTTATCGCGACCCCTCCGTCTCCCGCTCCGTCGCAAGGCTGGCGCACCCGCAGCTGTTGACGATCGCCATCTCCCCTCGCGACTATCCTTCCGACCCGGCGATCGTGGCCAGGCGGTTGGAGCTGTTGGCGGGGGATATGATCACCCGCGCGGTCCTGCTGGCGTCGAGGAAGAATTTCGGCCAGGCAGAGAGGATCACGGCGGAGATGAAGAAGATTATCCGCAAGATGCAGGACAACATCACCTACCATTTCGCCGACGGCTCTTCTTCGAGCTCGGGCGCGGGGGGGTCGAGGAGGGATCCAGGGCGGAGGGGCACGAAGAAGGAGAGGGAAGCGATGCTCGCTGTGGAGAGGCTCGAGGGACCGGCGGAGAGTTTGGAGATTCTTATGGATGGGATACTTGGGGTAGGGGAGAAGGGGAGTTTGGATAGAGATGTGAGGGATCACAGTGCCCAGCAGGTGAGTCTTTTCTATCGTTAGAGTGGGGGGGTTGTGGCTGATGAAGCGTATAGTCGAGTATCATGCGTTCGCAAAGAGCTTGGACGACACGGTCATTGCTCGAAGCCGACTACTGCGTACCCGAGGTGCAGAATATCATCCAACTATGTGGGGAGTGGCAGTCTAGGTTCTGAGAAGGGTTGTTTTGATAGTTGTCTTTTTTGCCTTTTTGCTTTTGCTTGCGTCCGGGGTTTTTGTTCTATTTTGGATGGTACATATTCGGCTTGGCTTTCCTTCACCTGCTAGTATTGGAACTTTTCTTTTCGCACTTTTTCGGTCAGGTCTTTCGGGGTTGTTTGGTTACTTTTCATGGTAGATGTATCACATATGATGAGGAGTATCAACCGGGCCAGCTCAAGTCATAAGCGCCGAGGTCTAAACGCAGTTCGGTAGAGATCTGACCAGCTGTTGCCTTTCCAGAACTGTCTCGAATGTCTTGAATGATACATACTCTACCGTCAAACATGTTTTGATCTCAGCCAGCACGAAACCGTTGGAAGGAGCTATACAGTTTGTGATAGTGATCTTGAAAGCAAATTGAGCGTCGTGAAAACAGTCGGCAATGTCAAGTCGCCTTTTGCAATCACGCTTATCCCTGGTCCTTTCATCCGTCTATATCGGTACACTTGTGAGCCACATGTAGAAGCGGCATTGGCTAGCCCGTTCCCCACATTCCCCAAGCCAACACCACAAGAACATCAACAACGCGCAATATCGTCTAGCTCACTGAACGATAACAAAGATGTCGGAACCGAACTGATCATCACAAACAGACTCCTCGAAGGGGCTTATCCATGCCAACTCTCAGGTCTACCGGTGGCAGGAGACGGGGTATCAACCCTGGACCCCTCTACGATAAGGACGTAGACTTGTGTCATGGTTATAGGAGTTATCTGTGTAGTTCGTTCATTCAGTAGATTAGTTGTGTGTTTAGTGGACCGTGCTCTCCGTATATACAGATATCAGAGTCTTCTTTCATCTTCTTCATATGCGACAATAACGAAAGGGTTTGTGCCCCTTACAACAAAACTCACTTCAGCACGCCAAGGGCACGCCGAGGGTACGAGTGGTGCTCGGGGCTGGAAGCAAGGTGAGTATCCCAGTACTAGTAGGGATACAAAGATTACGCTGATGCCCCGTGTAGACTCCCTGCTCATGGCTGACGTCCGCCGCCGAACGCAGTACGGATCACTGCCATCCTTTCGTCTTTCATCGTCGTATCCTTCCCGGCACTTGTCCTCCTCGCAGCCAACAGCACGCCACCCTACTCTCCTAGAACACTCACCGAAATTCTCCGTCGCGCGATGAGGTACGAGGGCTCACCTGCGGGCTGCCTGTGACTTGATATCGGCTGACATCTCCGTAGGAAGGGTCTCCCTCATTCCCAGTCCAGCCACGCCGCCGTCCTATGCGAAGATCACGGAGCCACGGACATCAACCTTTCACCTCGAGACGAGGGGCTTTACTTGAGCTCTGCCAAAGTCACTATCAAGCAGATACCCATGCCAGGAGTCAACGCGAGGTGGCATGTAGCATGGGAGGAGACAAGGCAGCAGAAGGGGAGAAGAAGGGCCTAGCCGGCAAGGAAGTGAGTGCTCTGCGCCGCTCAATGTTCACTTTCGCTTTTGCGCTTCCCCGATATATCTACAGCCTTCGAGATGGTCACCGAGTCCTCCCCAGCCTCAATTCAGCTCCAGCCTCCCACCGATGGAAAGATCTGATGAGAGATTCCAATCCGAACACGAGCTGTTAGAGAGAGAGACCTCAATTGTGGAACGGCCGTGTGTAGTGTTGAGTATTAGTGTCGAGTAGTGTTGCTGCAGTGATGCATACAATCCCGCCCTCTGATGATTTGCTCTACCTCCTCGCAACCGGTCTTCCTGACCATCTTGTTGAATTCAGCCTGGCGCTACCGCTTGAACATGTCGCGCCCTACAATACCACCCCGGCAAATAGCATCATGCAGGTGGTGATGGGAGCCATCTCGAACCGCGAAAAGGTGAGATGATCTGGATGGCGTATTGGGGCATGCGGCGAGTGGACTCGGAGGGTACAGGAAGATTTTTGAAGTAAGGCGGAGACTCGAGGAGGAGTGGGACGGTCTTGAAAAACGGTTGCGAGAGGATGGATCGAAGGGACGACGGTCGTCTTGCGCAACTTTGCTTTCGATCTTCCCATTCGTCTACCAACCAAATGCGATGCCTTGATACTCCACCTTCGCGAAGATTGCCCTTGGCATATTGCAGAGGCGGCTGATGAGGCGATGTCTATGATCGAACGCAAGATGGGGGAAACCACGATCTGAAGGATAGAGTCATCCACTTTGTCGAATTCGGATATGCGCCGACGGTACTTGGGGCCCCAAATAAAGGTTTCGCTGAGAAGGATGAAGCCGACGCCGCCTGTGCAACACGTCAGCCGCTGCGCTATAGGTACAATACAAGGGAGGCGTACAATGACGGGTTTCTTCATGCCTGAGGGTCCTGCCTGTGACGGATTGGCCGAGAAGGATGAAGCCGACGCCACGACTGTAATACAGCGTCAGCAATGTCATCTTCATCAAGGTCGAGATCAAAGAAAAACCAACTGACACTTCTTCTCATGAAGGTAGACAGTGCCTCTGAAGCCACACTCGCCTAAACGCCGTTTCCAATGAAGCTGCCTGGCGCCGCCCTCACAGTCGAATATGGCGCCGAATCCGACGAAGTGGATGACTTGATCCTTCCGATCGTCGTTCCTAATACATGTCAGACATATCTCTTCGTCGAGACACGAATATGACACTTACCCTTCCCCGATCTCGCGTTCGATCATGGACATGGCGTCATCATCGGCCATATTGTCCCAAGGGCAATCTTCGCGAAGATTGGTCTTCCAGACATTGCAGGCCCGGTCATACCCCGCTCGCCTCGCGCTCTTTTCCATCTTCGCATGCTCCTCGGGCCGGCTAGAGAACAGAGCCCGGATGTCTTTTTCTCCCAGAGTCCTGGCCTCCTCCCACCACCTCTCCCACAACTCTTTGCCCCACGTCGACCACTCCTCCCGAATACTTGCGGCCATCGAGGCATTGAATACCTTGGACTTCATTGTGAGCGGTCCGGTACCCATTGGTCTCATCTGGCTCTTGACCTCGTTCTGGATGTCTTGAGGCACCTCCTTGAGGGCCTGTCGCAAGGTTGTCCACCCACGTGTGCTCGTACCCTCGGACATCCCCAACGTGTGGAAGCCGTCTCGAGCCAAAGTCACAATGTCCTCAACGTCGTACCGGTAGTCCTGGACATTATCCTCGGCCCAGCAGACGATCGCCTCGTACGTCACGCAAGCAACGGCCAAAATTGATGACGAGGGTGTAATGTCGGGGTAGGGGGGGAGAATACTGGTTCGAGTGGACCAGAGGTCCTCGCACTCCAGGGGAAAGTTCTTGTGGGCAAACCCGGAGGCGGCAGAGTAGACGGCGGTCGAGGAGAAGGAGGGCAGGTCGGTTGACCAAGGACGGCAGTGCTTGTGTGGATGTTCAAGACATTGCATTTGGTGGGTAGACAAATGCGAGAATTGAAATGAAAGTTGCGCAAGATGACCTTGTCGATGTGCGAGATGGCTCCCATCACCACCTGCATGATGTTGTGTGCAGGGGTGGTATTGTGGGGCGCGACTGACACGAGCGGTAGGTCCAGGCTGACTTCAACAAGACGGTCAGGAAGACCGGTTGCGAAGAGGTAGAGGAGATCTTCGGAGGGCGGGATTGTGAGGTCGTCGCACTAGAGCACGAGCGTCTTTAGAGATGTGAAGACCGTCTCATTGGGAGGGTCGCGTTGTCGGTCATGACTTTGACGGGAATGCCCAAAAGGAGTGGACGCCATTCCTTAAGGGCTTCGACGATGGCGAGCATCTCTTTGTCGTGTACCGGGTAGCGAGTTTCTGCGGGGATGAGGGAACGGGAGAAATAGGCGATAGGGGCGAGAGCGTCGGGAAGATTGCCAGCACCGAGCCAAGCGCCTATGTCAGTGTTGCTAGCGTCTGTATGGAGATCGAACTCTCCTCCTGACGTAGGGCGATGGCCCTGTGCACTCTGGCTCGCAGATCTCCCCCAAGCACCGTCCCCAGCTCCACCATAGCACTTTGGCCTTCGATGACCAGCTGTTCTACCAGGGCTGTACTGAAGTACTTGGTATTCCAGAAGGCAGTCTCCTGGCCTTCGATCCCACTCGTATCATCCTTGCCCAAGGGCCAGCTCCTCAGGCTTGGGGGGACTCGCAAGGTGTTTGCCTTCGAGCGACATGTCGATGGGGAATTTACAGTGCACCGAAAGCTGGTAGGACTGTCAGCGTGTGGCTACATCGTGACAGTCGTCGAGAACGAAAGACCCACTTTTGTTGAGGCCCGCGTGAGGCCTTTCTTCGCCGTGTGCATGCCGATAACCTTTGACACTCGGTCCCGCAGACTGCCCCGGCCATGTATGCTTCACTCTCTCTGATCTGATTGCGTTTCCCATCTCCTCCTTCTCGCCGTCTGACTCGGGCTCGGCGATAGCGGAGGTGGATGATGCTTCTCGAGTCGAGCTCGTATCGTCGTGGGATATCGCCTCTGCTATCACTCAGCTCGAGCTAGACAACGAGGAGGAAGAAATGAGAGGGGCATCAGAACAGAGAAACTGACGCACACATAACCATGATAGTCTCCGGGGCGGAGCAAGGCCAGCAACGGCGATCATTCCTTGTCGAGATCCTCGCCAAGATGGTGGTAGGCGGCCAGCAGTAGGTGTGGCGAGGGGGCGGGGTGGATGAGTGTCGGCGATGAGTTTGACATGTAGACTTGTTGAGGAGATGAATAAAGAAGGATTGAAAAGAGATGAGAAAAGAGAAGTTGATGGGGATGAGTGTTTGACACGCCTTGACAACGAGACACGTGGAATTGGCGCCCGTCGTTGGAGTGCTGGGGTGCATCTCGAGAGAAAACGAAGCTGTAGGGTAGAGCTTGGAGATACACATGCATTGTCAGCTGTATCTGATTGCATGGACAAGCAGTATCATGCACATAGAATTGAGCACCATATAGACTATAGACAAGAGTTCATGTACACGCGTCAGCCAGACAAACAAAGTCTCCATCAAACACCCCTCAACCGTAGAGTATGAACCGTAGAGTATGTAAAGCGCGCCATTCTAGAGTCATCGGGCATTAGCCATGAGGGGCAAGAGCAAGAGTAATGGGCAATCCGGTATCTCTTGATAGTAGCGAACCCATGGAGGAGTAGTGATAGTACACCGCCAGCTCTTCTATCCAACCAGTAGCGGTATCATTTCATTTGAGTACCACCCGGCAAGTCTAGCAATTACGGAGCATGCTGCATCATTTATTCTATGCTTTAATGAAGTCTCCGCGACGCCGACTTGAGGCATAATACGAACCGAGATCGCTCCATGTTGACTGACGGCGACGGTGCCAGCAGCAAGACGCGCGGGATTTTACCTTTTGATTTTGTCCTTCACCTTTCGTCGTCACCTGCCAAACATCTCCCGTCAGCACTGTCTCTCCTTCTCCATATACCATAGTTCCCCCTCTCATCCAGACCCCTTGGCTTCAAGAGCCGCTCGAAGAATGCCAGACCAGCACATGCAAGACGACCAAGATGTCCAAATCAACACTCAGCCCACTCTCACACCGGCTGGTGAAGAACTGGACCACGCCCAAACAGGCCATGTACGCTCTCTCTCTCCTCTTCACGTGTATATGAGCTGACAGTGGTGGTGTTATAGACGGAAGCACCTTGCCCAGAAGATCTGCAAAGAGGTGTATGGCACTCTTTCGGTTTCCAACCCCGAGATCCAGATACGCAGAATACACTAGATGGACAACAAGACGCGTACCTGCCTTCTCCCCTGCCTTCCGCCGCCGCCAACCAGCCAACCCTCCCGACGACTATCACCAACACAGAGGAGATCGAGATGTGCGCGCCACCGCCAACGTTCGAAGCCAGCCCGAGGGAGGGGGAGAGGACGGTCCTAGGCGGTCCTGGGCCTTCTCACACGTCGTCAGATCGGGCTTTGACCCAACAGGGGCATGCGGCTGAGGGAGAAGAGAAGCAGACAGAGTCGAGCGTTGGCCCCGACCGTTCATCTCGAGGTAGAGGCAAGAGAGGCAGAGGCAGACCGCGTTCCAACGATATCATCCGCTACCCCAGACCCCCGCGCTCTTCACCCAGACTTGCCGAATGTGCCCAAGGTCTTCAACTCCAGCTCGGCTCTGCGCCTACCCTCGAGGGTGGAGAGGATTCACCGCTTGCTACCGTTACGCGTACGAGTCCCCGTCAGCAAACGCATCTCGATGTACCTCCCCACCACGCTGGGGAGGGCACAAATGCAAGATACCATCCATACAGCCAGCCCTCGACGCCATTCACCAGCTCCTTCCCGTCCACCTCTACCCCCTCCCGATCCGCCCGCTCCAAAGCCCCCAAAACACCAACACCAAACACCCCCTCAACCCCCTCTCTCTCGCACACCAACTCTCCCACCACACCCATAACGCCCACCTCCCTCGCCCGGCGCCGAGGGCTGAACCAAGGTTATTGTTTGGAAGAAGCGAAGGGGTTGAAGGATGAAGTTTCGCCGATGAAGGGTTCTGGGTGGCCTGGGTGGGGACCGTTGGGGAGTGGGGGAAGGAGGAGAAGGATGGGGATGAGCATGGGCATGGGGACGGGGGTGGGGATGGGGAGCTCGCCAGGGATGAGGATGACGAGTATGGACTTTGGAGCGGCCATCCCCCGCCGACCTCCTTCGATGACGACGAGCGAGCTGCCTCCGCTCAACCCTGCTGCCGACTCGCCCTCCAGGGGTGGTAATGTTGGGGATGTTGGTGCCCTTGTTGGCGGGCAGGAGAAAGCGATGGAGGGGCCGGAGGATAGTGAGATGGGTGAAGAAGATACTGCGCCAGCTCCGCCGACTTTCATTGAGAATCCGTTCCTCTCGCAGAACACTGCTCAATCTGTCGAGTACCCTCCATCTCCGCGAAGCCGAGCGATCAAATATGGTGATGAAGAAGAGAAAGAGGACGGAGAAGACGGGGGCTCGTGCACCATGTTGTCCGAGTTGCACCTGAAGGAAGATGATTCCAAGCCATAGAGAACGACGTTCAAGAGAAGGTTGATTTATATCGTGTCCTGTCCATACGAGCTCCCGCTTATAGTAGCACTACAGAAGAACATGTCATTCCTATATGCATTTTCGTTACATACAACTCCCATATCTCACATCTTACCCCATATACAGATCACTCGTCATCACTAACAATCTCTTCATCCTCCTCCTCCTCATCTCCCATCTTTTCCACATTCCATTCCCTCCCATCCTTCTTCTCCAAAAACAACACCCCCCCACTCTTCTTGATCAACTCCCAAACCTCCTCCCCTCCTGCCCGAACAGGTTTGATAACGTGTCTAGGGTAAGAAGTGATGAGGTTGAACTCCCAATCACCTTCTTCCCCTTCTTCACCCTTTTCATGCCCTTCAAACGTCGGGTCGATCGAGGCAGGGGAAGAGGGGAATGAGTCGGGGTCATCTGGTGTGGACTGAGAAGCGGGGATGAGGAGGGTGGAGGCGAATGTGAAGAGCGGGAGAGTGGAGGGGGAGGGGGTGAATTGGCGGATGTGACGTTCGGAGGTGAATGGTGTACGGAGGGCGACTCTGATAGGGCCGGAGGAAGGTTCGAGGAGGTGTTTTCGAGCATATCGTCTCCAAACTTGTCTCCCCAGCACAAACTCGGCTTTCTCAGCCTTCTCCCTCTCCTCCCGCTCAGCTCTCAGTCGTTCAGCTTCGGCTTTCTGCTTTTCCACCCTCATCCTCTCCCTATCCCTCCCCTCCGCCTCCCTCAGCGCCTTATCCTGCGCAGCCCGCAAATGCCGGGCTTCGGCCAAACTGAATTTCTCCGCTTTCAAGCGGTTCAAAAATGGTTTGGACCGGGGGAGGATGGAGGTTGTGAGGGTGTGGAGGATGGAGGTTGGGGAGGTTGTGCTGGACGGTGGGCCGGCGACGGTGGAGAGGATCTGGAGTTTGGGAGAGGAGGGGGAGGGGTTTAGGGAGAGGAATATGATGGAGGGGTAGGATGTTGTCAAGAGCGTTTGTGAGACTGCTGTCATCAGCTTTCGACCCACATACAAGGATGGAAGGACGTACCCTGGAAACCCTCTCGGCTCGAGATATCAGCGGCCCAAACAGCCACATTCTCATCCCTCAGCACCTTCACCACATCTCTATCCGCCAACGTCCCTCTCTTAAACTCTTCATCATCCTCATGCTCACTACTCACCAGCACCACCATCCCCACCACCGCTTCTTTCCTAACATGCGTCAGAAACTCTCTATACGGCCCGATGTAGAGCTCGGGGAGGGTACCGAGGGATGTAGAGGCGGAGGTGAGCGTTTCGAGGTCGCGCACGAATGCGAGAGAGGTGGCGGTGGGATCTTGGGCTGGGCGGGGGATCCGCTGAGTAGGCGATGGGGGACGGAGAAAGTAAGGCAGGTGAGGGAGGAAAGATAAGGGGAGGAAAGTGCGGACTGGGATCCGTCAGCGTTAGGGGTCGTCTGAGCGATGGCTGAGGGCTTACTCATAAAGTACCAAGCACCAGTGAACAGCGAGAACAAGAATGTGAAGGGTAAGAAGACTTTATCCCAGATTCCGAGGCCGACGCCTGATGTTCCGGGGGCACGAGGACGGGTTGGGGTACCAGATAAACGGCGAGAGCTTTGGGGGGCATGAGGCTGGTCGGAAGCGGCGCTGGTGCTTCGGTTTGTGGGGCGTGAAGGCCCGGCAGAGGAGGGAGCGGAGTCGGGTTGGTCGGTGAGGTTGAATATTTGCTCGATAGTAGCCTGTATGAAGGTCAGCGAGGGGGAAAGTGGCGAGACGGAGGGACTGACTTGTACGTTCCAGCCGTTCTCCCTGAGGAGCTGCTCGTCCCGCTGTCTCGACCCGTCGGTGGCCGAGGCTGTGACGGCGAGGACCTGGTCGAGTGCGTCCTGCTGCTGTTGTGTGAGGGCCATGGTATAGGGCTGGGTATAGAGGGATGCGAATGATAGAGGAGAGTAGCGCACGCCAGCGCAACAACAAGGTGGAGGCAGCCAGGCACCGTACGAGATGCCCTCGACCGACGGAGAGAGATCCAGCTGGGATTATATTTCTCTTTTCTTTCCATCTTTCCTCAACAATCATCCTCAACGCTGCAAGATGAGCGCCCAAGACCACGACGCACCCTCTGTCAAAGACCCCAGGATCGCATCGTCCGCCAACTCGACCATCGACGAGGACGACGCTGCTCTCGTGAGTATTTCCCACGACCACTGCCCCTTTTCTGATGATTTCTCAAGCAAAAATGGGGTACAAGGCTTCTCTCGCAAGACGATGGGGTCAACTTGAATCTTTCGCTGCTGCTTTCTGTGACATGCAAGTCTCTTCACTGATCATAGCGGGTAATACAGGCTGACTTTGGGTGCAGGGATTTTCTCGCCTGCTCTCGATCTCTCATCTTTCTCGGTATCGAAGGTGGTGGACCTGTTGCTGTTTGGTAAATCGCTATCCTTGACAACAAGATTTGGAATTCGACTGTTTTCGACCTGGCGGCTAGCCGCCCTCGGCGCTGTTGGCCTTCCCAACTTTATCACTCTTCTTCACTGGAAGCCGGACCTCAAGCAACACACCACCCATCGCCATCAGTACAAAGAACAACCGAAAAGACAAAAGATCAACGCGCCAAGAAAAAGAACCCACCTGGACATTCCCTCAAATTCTCGTCGAGCATCCCGCCATCCCCATACCTATATGGTCAAAAAGCACACTATTCATGAAAAAACGTGGTGAGCAGTCTCGCAACATGTACTGAATACTGGGTAAGGGTGCTTCCTCTCCCCTAACCTCTTCTATCACTCTCTCCCCTTCCGTCCCTTTGCCCCCCACCCCCCTTCCCTGGTACAGGTCACTCTTCAAAAAAGCCCGCTCTGCCTGCTTTCCCGCTTTTGGTTCAGCAGGAAGCTCGGAGCTTTTTGCTTTTTTCTGAAAAGTGACCCAGGGAAGTGGAGCGTCAATAAAAGACCGAGGTGTGGAGGTTGAGAGATGGAAGAGGGGGGAGGGGTTGCTGAGAATACACCGTTTGAACCTGCTCGAGGCAATGCTCGCGAAGGGAATACCAGTTTGCCTTTTTTTCTTTTCTTTTTCTCGTTTTTCTTCATTCTTTTCATGTTTCTTGTTTGGTGTGATGTGGGGCGGGTTGCATGGGTATGGTCTTCGATGAGGACGGGGAGATGGGCGCGGGTCGGCCTTCAGCCGGTGGGGAGAAGTGTTTTGGATCTGAAGACGGGGCGATTTTCGCGGAGCGGTTGTTATCATTCGGAAGAGCGTTGAAATCTGCTTGGGGGTTGGTGGTAGTAGAAAAGATATCCTCGAAACCTTCTCCACCATCCCAAAACCCACAGTCATTGAAAAGTTCGAGACGTCCAACGCCCTCTCCAGAAGCTGACTTCTAATGACAGGTCCTCATCTCCCCATTCTACTCTCCCCATTCTACTCTCCCACCTCCGCATCCATCTTCAACTACTCCATCGTCATCTGGGGCGCCGCCACCATATTTGGGTTTATCAGCTGGCTGGTGACGAGCCCCGAGACGTGGTTGCATCAGGAACGGGTGGAGAGGATGAAGGAGGTGGCTGGTGGGGAGGAAAAGGGTTCGAGGTTTGGGGTGGAGGGGGAGAAGAAGGAGGTGGTGGGGGAGAATGTCGGGATTAGCGGGGCGTAAGGTGGGCGTGGGTGGGAGATTCAACTTTTCCACTCGAGTGGGGATGCCGTAAACGTTTGGTTCGGTTCTTCTTCGCTCTTCTCACTTTTGTTCATACTCCCACGACGTAAGGTACTCTTGTGCTATGCTCGTTTGCTGACCCTTCTATGAACCTTCATACTGCTGAATTGCGTAAACAAACAAATCATACGGTTAGACAAGCAGACGATAGCCTATAGGCCCTATAGACCTGCGTCGGCCGGCGACATCAGCGCGTGAGACACCGGTTAAGCGCTGCCGACTCTTTCCACCTGTCCATCTTTCCAACCCATGCATGTTTTTTTTGTTACGAAAACAGCAGGTACCAGTGTCGCAAGGTTAGGCCCCTGCCAGGCCATCGGAGACTTTAGTGCGGAATGATTACGAGCCAAGAAGGCAGCTGGTGGCCAAGTGACCCAAGTCCGACGGTTGAAGACATCTCCGATGGCGCAAGAGGTGCTCTGCTAACCGGACCGGAACGCTGTGGATGCTGCTCGTGCGACCGATAGATAGAGGGGACAGAGGATAGTCGGCGGGGTACATGTATGCATCCAGATCGTACATAAAAACCCCTCTTCCCCTCTTTTCATTTCCCCATAGGCAGTCACTCGACGGAAGCAGAAATGGTCGTCTCACAATGCGTGCGCTCATCTCCTCTTTCATCTCCCTCATCACTCACTTTTTACCCCAGCGCAGAATGTCGGGCAACGGCTTCAAGTCTCCTGCCCCAGTCCTTCCGGGTCTCGGCCTCCACTCTTTTCACAATGATTCGTAAGTGCCGCTCGCTCACTGGGTGGCTGCTGGAGCTGACTCGGAACAGCCCACCATTCGCTGGCGCCGCCACGTCCGAGATCGGCGAACCGCCTGCGTTGAATCTCGAAACCACCAACGGCCATCCCGGTGCTGGCCCCTGGCAGGGGTCTGTCTCCCGCATGCCTACTCTCGGACGCACTCCCTCCCAAGCCGAAGCAATCCCAGAGCACCCCACCACCCAAGTTCCAGAGAGCAAAGACATATCGTCTCTCAAAAACATCCAGCCTTCCCCCTCTCCCCCCGTCCCGAGCGACTCCCCAACAACCTCGGTGGATAAGGACCACGAGTTTTCACAATCCCGTTCCCGTCGTCTGGTCTCCGGCTATCTCTTTGGAAACCCTCCCTCTCCCACCGGCGTAAACCCCACAACCACCCCTCCCACCGCCCTCTCCCACTCCCATCCATCCACCGCCACCGTCACCGCCGCCACCGCAGAAGAATCACAAGAACCCCAGGCCAGCCGCCGGCTCAGCCCGACGTTGGAGGGCACGAGATATGTGGGACAGCCCCGGCTGGCAGAGTTGCTGGATTCGCCGCCGCTGAGCGATGCGGAAGCTGGTTTGGGAGAGTTGAGGAGGGATATGCGGGAGCTGGATATGGACGGGACCCCGCCTCCACCCGATGCTGCTTCTGAAGCACGCCCAGCTCCTGGCGGGGTTGTATCCCTAAACGAGCCTCTCGGCGCCGATGCTGGCGCCGGACCGGCGCCTAGGGTGGCAGCGAGGAAGAGCGAGAGGTCAAGAAAGGCAGAAACAGGATACGACGCGCTGGAAGGGAGGAATGATGGGGAGGCTGATCTGGATTTGAGTGCGCCGCAAGCGGAGGGTGGTGGGAGTGGGGCGTATCTGGCTGGAAAGGCGCCTTATTCGTTCCCGAGACATCGGCTGAGGACCAAGATGCACGGTACGTCTTCTCGTCACATTCCCTATCATATACCCTCTTCCCAATCCCTCCTCGTGATAAGCAGCTGACTTTTGGGTTTAGACGAAAGCAAGATACCCGTGGTGATCGTCGCTTGTGGCTCCTTCTCCCCACCCACCTACCTCCACCTGCGAATGTTTGAAATGGCCAAGGACGAGATTGTGGAGAGTCAGACGTACGAGATCATGGCAGGCTACTACTCTCCCGTGTACGTCCCCCTTCTCCCATTGCTTTTTGCAGCTTTCCCCAAGCCCGAAAAAGGACGCTGACCTTTGTTTCAGCTCATCGTACTACAAAAAATCCGGCCTCGCCCCCGCCCCCCACAGAGTCCGCATGTGCGAGCTTGCCGTCGAACACACCTCCACCTGGCTCATGGTCGACCCCTGGGAAGCCGGCCAGCCTGAATACCAGCGCACAGCCGTCGTGCTCGACCACTTTGACCGGCTCCTCAACGGCGGGGCTGAAGGCGAGGAGCAAAATGGCGAGAAGGGAGGGGGAGGGGTGGTGATGAAGGGTGGAAAGAGGAGGAGGTACAAGATCATGTTGTTGGCTGGGGGTGATCTGATAGAGAGTTTTGGGGAACCGGGGGTATGGAGTGAACCTGATGTACGTCAACCCCCTCCTTTCCCTTTTCCTCGTATATACTAATGCTTCATATAGCTACACGAGATCTTGGGCCGGTTCGGATGTCTCATCGTCGAACGCGCAGGCTCCGACGTCTGGGCATTCCTCCTCTCGCACGATATCCTCTACCATCACCGGCGCAACGTCGTCGTCATCAAACAGCTCATCTACAATGACATTTCGTCGACAAAAGTCCGGCTGTTTGTCAGAAGGGGCATGAGTATAAAGTATCTGTTACCGAACAGCGTGATTCAGTATATCATAGATCACAAGCTGTATAGGAGCGGGGATGGGAAGAAGATTGCTTGAGTGAATTTGTGCAGGGCGAACAAGTTGGATAGGGTTTCAGTGTATTATTAGATGTCTTCAGTTATAGAGTTTGTGATCTTTGTCAGGATGTATCTCCCATATCTTGCTTTGCTTATCCCATGGAGCGTGCTGCATACCGTGTTCTTGCATATTCACGAACAAGATACCAAACAACGTAGTGTACACTTCAATCTCGTTTCCTCTGCGCAAGCTCCCTCGTCACCCTCCCCCACATCTCTTCAACCTCCGCCGTAAACGCATCCCACTTCCCCCCCACCGCCTTCTCCCTCCCAGTCACCCCCTGCATCTGCCTTTCCCACCGGTCAAACACCTCCTTGCCTCCATTCGCGACGTAGACTGAAATGAGGCTCTTTCTGAACCAGCGGAAAGCATTCTTGCGCTTCTCCCTCGCATTCTTCGATTCGAGCTGGTCGTCTGCGATTTTGGAGGTGTCGTCTGCTTCGGCGTCCTTGTCCGGGTCTTCGTCCAGCAACATCATTCCCGCCATCCTCGCAATCCTCTCCACTTCTCCTACGCTCCACCTTCCCACCGCCCCTCGTCCTCCTCCCAACGCATCCTCCAGCGTATTTACCCTCACGCCTCCCAAGTATACAGGCGAAGAGTCGCCATCGGCATGAAATTTGTTCAAAGCCAAGTTGAAGCGGTCGCGAAAGGGGTATTGGCTGGCCAGGAGCTTGATCGGGTTTGGGGCAGAGGTGGAAGGGTGGGGTAGGGAAGTTCGACGTCGTTTTGGAGCGGTGGTAAGAGGTGGTGGGGTGGGGGCAAGAGAAGTACCCATAGGTCCAAGCGAGAGTGCCCGCCCTTTACTCCTCCCAAGGCTCTTGAGGCGCCGACTAGTTGCTGTATCCTTGCTTCCCGTCTGCTCCTGCTCATCTTCTTCGGCTTCGAGAGGGTGTGGTCCCAAGTTGCTGTAGCGTGATCTCAGCGGTGTGGGTGATCTTGGCCGATGGGCTTGAGTGTCGTCCATAGTTTGGCTGCGATTGAGATTGGGTCGAAAAGGTGTTTGTCGAAGAAGAGTGATGGGGTCGTCTTTGCTGGAAGTGGTAGAAGAACGTTGATAGTCGGTATAGCTCGGTCCATAGGCAGCCTCCCGTCCAGAAATATCCGCTCGAACCGGGTAGCCTCGACACCACGGATCCCCTTCATACCCCATTCCGGCCGGTTGAAGTTGCTGCTTTGCCCGCTCCGCCCGCTCCGCCTGCTCCGCCGCATCGCCCCTCACAGCCTTCTCAAACAGATCCACCAAAAGCCCAGTATCCTCCCTCCCACCAGCCTCGTACTGATCCCACGCTCGAGCCATATATTCCTGGAACGGCGTGTAGTGCAAAGTTTGCGCAGTGTAATGGCACTCTTGCACGAGGGCGCTGAAGACTGCTTGGTAGGCGAGGATGGTTTTGAAGTGGAGAGAGTTGGTTGCTGGGGATCTCGAGTCGTACTGGTTCGGGGTATCGTGGTATGGGCGAGAGGTGGCCTGATAAGACGCTGATGAGGTATTTGACCCAGCTGCTGTTTGGTAGGGGTAGCTGTTGCCGTAGAAGGACTGCGAGTAGAGGTCGCCATACGACTGATGCAGCCCATGAGATTCGTATGGCTCGTCGCGAGAAGAGTTCTGGTGCCAACCATGAGACCAAGCGTCTTGGGGGCAATGTAGATCGGAGCCTCTAGGGATAGAGTTGTGATGTAGGGTGTTCATCGGGGGAAGAGTGGGAGTTTCGGCGGAGGGCGAATGAGCGGGACGATGGGCCCGATCGTGGATAGGCATATGAGACAGCGCGGCAGATGCTATCAAAGCCGAAACTTCTGTAGTAGACACCGCACGGCCTTGAGACGCCCCTCCGTACCCATAGTTGTATCTCGGACCATCCTCTTCCTCCGACTTCCTCTCGTCTTCGTCCGAGTGAACACCATCACTCTTCTCGACCGCGCGTCCTCTGCCCTTGTCCACCACGCCCCTCTCTCGCAAAGAGTAAGGGCGGTAGCGGTATGTCGGCGGCTGATAGCTGTGAGTTCCATCTGGCCCATGGGACGTAGCGGCGGGGGAGAAGGGTGGCGACTTGTGATATGCGAGCGGCCGGAGGTTAGACTGGCCAATTCGCGAGTCGGTAGTATCGCCGATGTATGGGGGTTCGAGAGCGGGCTCATCGACCAAGGTAGATGTAGGGTTGGGGATTGTGGTCTGAGCTTGGTGATGGGACGCAAAAGAACCAGAATGATGGGGCGTAGAAACACCAGACTGGCCGATACGAGCGGGGATAGATGAGCCTTGGGTGGTGAAGGCGACGTGCGAGGATTGAGCAGGCGTCTGCTCTGTCAACAATGCCCTTCAAGTCAAGCAGAGACTCACATTGTCATGGTGAATCCTGGTCCAGGACGATCCGGGCAAAACCCGCTGGTCGATGTGAAAGTACGATGGCACCAGCCTGGGTGTCTGGTGCGAGTGCGGGCTCGAGTCCGCTGTGGCTGGCGTGGTTTGAGAGGGCTGGTGATTGCCGGGGACGGGGGTGGCAGATGGTTGTGTGTAGAGTGATCTGGGATCCATGGCGACATAAGAAGAGGATTCTGGGAAAAGCAAGAAGAGATGCAAAACAAGGAAGAGATGCAAATTCAACATGAGATCACCTCCTGCGGCGGCCGGCTCTGGCCGTCGAGCCGTATTATTATGTAGTTGTTGCCAAAAGGTATATTGTGCCAGATGAAAGAACGCTGCAAATGTACAAGTACACCCTACGTGTTGTTGTATACCAAGACGACCACAACGTACGCTTCCCCCGAATACGAACCTGGCTCCATAGCACGTCTATCATACGAGTACGAGTACAACCACTTTGGCCGCCTCCCAATACTTCCTGCAAGTCGTTCATCGTCGACAAGTGCGATCATGATTCCACATGGATGTACAGTAGAAGGAGTGACCATACACCGAGTATCATGGTCATTTCTTCACCTGAGTCCATGTACTCGTACAACACAAAGCCTTACCGAGCCTCTCTTCGCCAACAGTAATATCGGACAGATAAGAAACACATGCGTTCTTTCATGTCGGGCGTGTGTAGGCGTGTCCCTCCCCCTCCCATGTTGACGCGCCACGATACTACATCTGAAAGGTTCATTGAACTATCTATTGCGCCGACTCTTTCCACAACCTTCATCATTCAGCCGCCTCCTCCTCTCCTCCTCCTCCTCCATCGCCTGCTTATAATCTCTGCAAATCTGGTCGTTTTCCCAATGCTCCCTTTCTGTTTCCTCCTTCAGCACATATATGAAAAGGGCAGCTCGGAACTCTCCTTCGTCCATAAGCTCGCCACATCCATAGTAGGCAGGATGATCGCAGGAAGTAGAGCATTTATCCTCAGCTTCTTGGGTCCGCCATCTGCGAGGTTCAAGTAGCTTCTGACACCTCTCAAGCGCAAACATGTACTCGGCCGGAATTGTCTGCCACGCCTTCTTTGGCATGTTGGACGCGTGGAACGAATCCACCCCGTCCAGACTGCCCCATCGACCCTGGGTAGGTAGGTGGACGAAAAGCTCTTCCTGTTCCTCACTGAGAGGGTGATAGTGGCGTATGACCAGCGCCGCCACATCCGGAAGATCACCAAGAGCCGCCAAGGCAAAAATGTCGAGGGGCTCGAGACAGCTCTTTCCAAAAAGACTTTGTCGCTTCATCCATCAAGACCCTCTCGTATGCAGCGAGCGCTGGGCCACTTTCCCACTTCTGGGCGAAGCGGAGCAGAGACTCGATGACCTGGACACGATCGAAGACAGGTACGTTGTTGACGTAGGAGCGGAGCGAGATACCTTGGACGGCGTTCAGAAACATGTGGATGGTGCCGGAGGTTTCGAATTCGGTATCGGTCATCTCGATACTGTGTGTTTGGGTGGCTGAGGTAGCTGATGGATGAGGGGAAAGAGTTTGGGAGGAAGGATTCTGCACCACGACGACGCTGAACATCTCTCGGAAGACCGTGCTACACCAACAGTCAGCGACAAGCCATATACAGTTACGCGCGCGACTGTGCTCACCTCCCAGTCTGAAGTAGGTATATCGGAACAAAGAACGCTACATCGTCGCTGCTCACAAGCCGGATACCGTTGCTGGTATCGTTCCAATCTGGGTGAGCCGGCACGGTCTTGACCTTTTTGCTCTTGGCCTTTTTGCTCTTGACCTTTTTGCTCTGGGGATCGGGCTCGTCGTCGAGTGGGCGTTTGTCCCCAGCTGATGGTGGCGTCTCGTCGGCGGTGGACGGTGCCGTGTTGGACATTGTAAGGGCGGTGTCTTGTGGAGGCAGCTGGCAAAGCTGAATAGCGAAATGAACAAAAACAATCACGACGCACATACTCCTTCGCGACTGCCCAGCCCTGGTTCCTGAGCTACCTCGCAACGCAACACCGGCCACCAGCAAGACGCTATGTATACATATGTATGTACCGGCGCTACGCTTCTTCGCCGGCGCCGGCAAGGAGTGGTGGACTGATGGGGCGGCGGTGGTTCAGGAGCTGGCTCGACACAAGCCACGCGACCCTGCGGATGGGCAGGCCGGGGATGGATGTCAGCTGCGTGTAAAAGCATGCCTATGAAGTAGAAGAGTGGGCATAGTCGCAACTGAAGCCTTTTGGGATGCATGATGACATACATACTCGTACATCACGGAATGTGAGGAGCAGGTAGGGAAATCATATGTTACATGCAGGAAGAGATAAGTGTAAAGCGACCAGAGATAAGTTGCATACAAGATTTTGGCAAGACTGTGACATCCGAAGTATATGGCGCGCCGAGGGGAAATGAAAGGGCGGCTTCAGTCTTCCCTGGCCCGGGTAATTCATTTCTGCTTTTTTCTGCCGCGCGTCTTCGTTTTTGTCCATGAAACCGTCCTTTCTGCTCCCTCTTCATTGCTCTATTGTCTCCATCGATCAATTGTCTGCACACTTTCTCTATTGTCCCTTGTTTCAATGCGTCCTCCTCAGTTACGGCCATGTCGCTATTGTCTGCAGCACGGTACATAAGCTACCAGTTCTTCGCGAATTCCTACTCCTCTCATCTACAACCTGGATAACTCTCTCACCCCTTAACATAACTCTATAGATCTCCAACCATGTCCGACGTCGACTACGTAAAACTCGTGCGTATACCCTTCATATCACATCATCAGAGGTACTGACACTTGATAGGCCGCAGAGCAGCGAGCCCAAATCGCCGCCAAAGAGGAGTACCTTGAGAACCTCAAGAAGATGGCAGAGGTTGATAGGAAAATCTCCCAATATCTTAACCGGGCGCCACCCCCCCCAAGTCAAGACGCCGGCGATCTTTTTTTCGCCAGGGAGACCAGCATCCGCCCCCATCAGGTCGTTGCCGAGGGGACCGTCAAGCGCAACAGCTTCCCGAAGGTCTCTGCGTCAATGAGACCTCTTCCGGTCAGATCAGATCCTCCCTTGGTCACCTTGCCTAGGTCGTCGTCCGCGGGCACGGCCTCTACCACCAAGCTGGTCTCGGGGGCAAGGAAGGCCCCCAAGGCGCCCACCGAAGGTGCGCGTATGGTGCCGGGGAAGAATGCGGTCCGCAGAGTGAGTACAGTCTCTATTTTTCTACTTCTCCTGCTGAAACCTTTATGTAGCTCTATATAATCCCCACCACGTTCTTCAACCGGAACAGAACCTCAAGCTCAAGCTCGAGCCAGCGCTTCTCCTTCCGCCACCACCCCCAGTTGTACGCTGCGGTCTTGGAGGCCGCCAAGCAATGGTCCTTGTCGATCCCCAGGGGCCAATTGCCCTACAAAAGGCAGAGCGTGGAAGACATCAAGTCGGCTCTCCTGGGAATGGTTTATGAGGCCATCCAGGGACAGGGCATAGAGCACGATCTGGCCTACGACGTCCTTACTGGGGGGACTATGATGTGAGTATTGAGCATCTTAATGCAGAGATCCAAGCTGACACCTTACTTAGGTTTGCTGGCAAAAGCCGCCACATGGTTGACATAGACTTGTTCCCACCGACCACTCGCCTCGTCAATGGTGACGATCTCGGTGACCACTTCTGTGCCTACCAACAGTCTTTTGCCGTTGTAGACACGGCGCCAGAGGTGGAGCGAGCCTTCTTGATGACGGTGGGGGAGAAGTGGGACGAGTTGCAAGGAGGGAAAGACGTTGTTGGTGCCGAGAAGATCGGCGATGTATTTGCGGAGTACGAGCCGGAGGCGGATGCTCAAGGCTCTGGAGATGAGGACGATGACATCGAGTTCATCGAAAAAAAGGTAAGCTGGGGCTGAACAGTGAGAGCGTCTCCCAAGCCAAGAAGATGAAGAAGGAGAACAAGGGGAAGAAGGCTGAGAACGTCGACAAGGCTGAGGAGAAGCAGAGAGAGAGAGGAGCTGGGAAGGGCAAGAAGGTCGTGGCGTTCTGGCGTGATTTTCGAGGAAGGAGATGAGGCCCCTTTTGTGGAGGGAGGAAGGCGGATCATGGCTGGACCAGCTTCGTCATCTGTTTAGAGTAAAGTATAGTTTTCCATGGGCTGTAAAATCATGTGGATAATCCTTTCATGTCCATACTTCGTAGTCACATCAATCTATGCACATATGATAAGGCCGTCTAAATGACCTGGTCGACGTCGTTCCTCTCAAAGACCGCTCTGACCCGCGCGACACAGAGGTCGTAACGACTGCGGCCAAAGTCTTCTTGATAGAGCGCAGGCGGCGGCATCTCTCCGTCCAACCATTCCAAGAATGCCGCATTGGTGAGAATGTCCCTCAAATAGGGACTCATACTCTTCACCGGCTCAACCACCGTCTTCTCCTTCTTACGCTCGCGCGCGCCAGGGTTTGCGGACCACAGCCGATGAGCGTCGACGCCATAGCTGTTGAACTCGAGCCCCAAGTCATGATGGCGCCTGACGTAGTCGTCTTCGTCATCATCAAGCTGCCACCACTCCTCGCCGTAAGCCTCTCGCATCCTGCGGCTCTGTCTACGCCATATGAGGTTGGGGGAAAGTTGCTTCTCGGTACGCAGAGGATGCTCATTCCAGGCGGCAAGAAAGGCGTCGCACTCCATCTGAAGCTGGTCAAGGAAAGTATAGTGCAGGCACCAGAGGTGTACGTCGTGGAAGGGTACCTCTTGCTCGTCCTCGATCTGATGGAAGAGCTCCACGTACTTCTTCGTATTCCAACGCTGGAGATCGACCCAGAG